CTGAAGGGGACCCTTGCGACGGACCCTCACTCCTAGCACCCCCCCCTCTGCCCAGAGCCCCAAAGGGAGGCACGCTCCAAAGAGAGATGGCCACTTTATTCCCACAAGCCATGGCCGCCTCCGTTCCCCCTCCTCACTCACCTTGACTCCTTCAACCCCCCCCCCCCCCAAATGCAGCCAGTCCAAGGGCTCTGGGCCCACATTCTTCTTCGGAGGCTCAGCAAGAAGGCTTTTGAACCCAAACTTTGGAGAAAGCGGTGGAGGAAGGAGAGCAAACATCAGGTTCAGACATGTCCTTGCAGAAGAGCTTCAGGTTTGCAGAACCAGGTCCTGCCCAACTACGAAGAGGCCCAACAGGACAGCAAACCATTCCAAACCAGTGGTGTGACTTGGGGGGAGAAGGCAGCCATTGCGCCCCAGGCCAACGAGGGAGGGAAAGGGGTCTTCTGCATTGGGGTCTGACTCCCATTCAAGGGGGGAAATGGATCCGGAATGGACTCTTCTCCCAATCCAGGGAGGGAAAGAGAGGCAGGTCTCAGTCTTTTCTCAATCCAGAAATGGGGGAAATGGGTCCGGATTTAAGTTTTAGTCCAACCCAGAGGAGGAAATGGGTCCAGATTGGAGTTGTATCCCAATCTAGGGAGGAAAATAGATTCAGATATCAGTCTTCTATCAGTCCAGAGGGGGAAATGAGTCCAGATTTGAGATTTAAACCAGGGAGGGAAATGGATCTGGATTTGAGTCTTCTCCCAATCCAGGGAGGAAAATAGATGCAGGTTTCAGTCTTACTTCAATCCAGAGGGGGAAATGGGTCCAGACTTAAGATTTCTCTCAACCCAGGGAAGGAAATGGGTCCAGATTTCAGTCTTACTCCAACCCAGGGAGGGAAATGGAACCGGATTTGACTCTTATCCCAATCCTGGGTGGAAAATAATTCCGGATATCAGTCTTATCTCAATCCAGAGGGGGAAATGAGTCCAGACTTGAGATTTAACTCAATCCAGGAAGGGTAACTGATCCAGATTTGACTCTTATCCCAAACCAGGGTGGAAAATAGATACATATTTCAGTCTTCTATCAATCCAGAGGGGGAAATGGACCCGGACTTGAGATGTATCTCAATCCAGGGAGGGAAATGGGTCAGGATTTCAGTATTACTCCAGTCCAAGGGGAGAAATAGACCCAGCTTTTATTTTTATCCCAATCCAGAAGGAAAAATGAGTCCAGACTTGAGATGTATCTCAATCCAGGGAGAGAAATGGGTCCAGATTTGAGTCTTACTCCAACTCAGGGGGAGAAATTGATCCGGAATTGACTTATCCCAATCCAGGGTGGAAAATAATTCCGGATATCAGTCTTATCTCAATCCGGAGGGGGAAATGAGTCCAGACTTGAGATGTATCTCAATCCCGGGACGGGAGGGGGTCCCAGTGTGATCCTGAGGCCAATCCAGGTGTGGGCTGAGTCCCAACTCTGCACCACGCAAGACCCCCGGGGACCCCCAAGGGACACACCCTGCCTGTCCGGCGCTGCCCATCCGCAGGGAGGTCTTCCGGCCGCTCTCCTTGCGTCCGGCTAGATGGACTCGATCTGCTTGCGGACCTTCTCGAGGGCCTTGCGGTCCAGCAGGCGCTGCCGGCAGACCACCAGGAGGGCAAAGGCCGCCGCCGCCCCCAGCATGGCGCCCTCAAACTTCCAGAAGAGCCGTGCCTCCATGGCCGCCGAGCGGCAGCTGCAAGGAAAGGAACCGGGTCAAGGCTCAAGGACAAAGAGCGTTTGGAGCCCCACCGACAATGGGAATGAACCAAACTTGGCACGCAGAACTCCCATGCCCAACAGAAAACACTAGAAGGCTTTGGTGGGAATTGACCTTGAGTTTGGGAGATGTAGTTCACCTACATCCAGAGAGCGCTGTGGACTCAATGATGGATCTGGACCCATTATGCCCAAATGTGAACACTGGTGGAGTTTGGGGAAATTAGACCATGACATTTGGGAGTTGTAGGTGCTGGGATTTATAGTTCACCTACAATCAAAAAGTATTCCAAACTCTACCAACAATGTAAGTGAACCAAACTTGGCACACAGAACTCCCATGACCAACAGAAAATACTGGAAGGGTTTGGTGGGCATTGACCTTGCGTTTGGGAGTTGTAGTTCACCTACATCTAGGTAAAGTATGGTGGACTCAAACAAAGACCAAAATGGTCATGAATACTCAATATGCCCAAATGTGAACACTGGTGGAGTTTGGGCAAAATAGACCTTGACATTTGGGAGTTGTAGGTGCTGGGATTTATAGTTCACCCGCAATCAAAGAGTATTCTGAACCCCACCAAGGAAGGAACTGAACCAAACTTGGCACACAGAACTCCCATGACCAACAGAAAACACTGGAAGGGTTTGGTGGGCATTGATCTTGGGAGTTGTAGTTCACCTACAACCAGGTAGAGTATGGTGGACTCAAACAAAGACCAAACTGGTCCTGAATACTCAATATGCCCAAATGTGAACACTGGTGGAGTTTGGGCAAAACAGACCATGACATTTGGGAGTTGTAGGTGCTGGGATTTATAGTTCACCTACAATCAAAAAGTATTCCGAACTCTACCAACGATGTAAGTGAACCAAACTTGGCACACAAAACTCCCATGACCAACAGAAAATACTGGAAGGGTTTGGTGGGCATTGACCTTGCGTTTGGGAGTTGTAGTTCACCTACATCTAGGTAAAGTATGGTGGACTCAAACAAAGACCAAAATGGTCCTGAATACTCAATATGCCCAAATGTGAACACTGGTGGAGTTTGGGCAAAATAGACCTTGACATTTGGGAGTTGTAGGTGCTGGGATTTATACTTCACCCGCAATCAAAGGGCATTCTGAACCCCACACAGAACCTCTATGACCAACTGAAAATACTGTGTTTTCCAATGGTCTTTGGCGACCCTTCTGAAAGGAGGCGGATTGTGAGCGCGTGCCTCTCTGGGCCGAATGCGCCTACCTCTTGAATTCTCCTTTCTTGGAAGCGCTGCAGTTGATCTGCTCCACGAAGCCGGTCGCTCCGCACTCGGGCATCGTTTTCTGCAAGCAAGAAGAGACCGTTGCTCAAGCCGCGCAGAACTCTCTGGAGCGCCAAGGAAGTTTGCCCATGCGCAGAGGATGGAAGCCAAGCATGGCAGGCAGCACTGGGCCCAAAGCCAGGAGGCACTTACACTTTGGAAGCTGGTGCACGGGGCGCACTGCAGCGTCACCACAAAGTCCTCCGTCCGCCAACACGGCGTCGTCCCCAGCACAGCGCCTGCCGGGAAAATCATCCGGGAAGAGACACCGTACGCAAAAGGGAAACCAGAGGAAACAGGAGCAACAACACTATGTTTATGTTTACGATTTTTGTTCCTGGGTTATCAATGTCATAATAATAACAATAATATAAATAACGGAACTGCTCAGCCCATAATAATAATAATAATAATAATAATAATAATAATAATATTAACCCAACTATTCAGTCCCATAATAAATAACGGAACTGCTCATCCCCATAATAATATTAATTATGCTAATGATATCCAAACTATTCAGCCCCATAATAACATTGTCCTGGTTTATAAATGTCATAATAACAGTAATATAAATAACTGAACTGCTCAGTCCAATAATAATAATAATAATAATAATAATATCAACCCAACTATTCAGCCCCATAATAATATAATAATATAGTCCTGGTTTATAAATATCATAATAATAACAATAATATAAATAACGGAATTGCTCATCCCCATAATAATAATAATAATATTATCCTGGTTTATAAATGTCATAATAATAATATAAATAACGGGACTGCTCAGCCCCATAATAATATGAATTGTGCTAATAATAACCCAACTATTCAGCCCTATAATAATATTGTCCTGGTTTATAAATGTCATAATAATAATAATAATAATAATAATAATAATAATAATATAAATAACTGAATTGCTCAGCCCCACAATAATATTAATTATGCTAATATTAACCCAACTATGCAGTCCCATAATAATATAGTAACATTGTCCTGGTTTATAAATGTCATAATAACAATAATATAAATAACGGAACTGCTCAGCCCCATAATAATAATAACAATAATAATAATAATAATAATAATAATAATAATAATAATATTGACCCAACTATTCAGCCCTATAATAATATAATAATATTGTCCTGGTTTATAAATGCCATAATAATAACAGTAATATAAATAACAGGACTGCTCAGCCCCATAATAATATTAATTATGCTAATAATAACCCAACTATTCAGCCCTATAATAATATTGTCCTGGTTTATAAATGTCATAATAATAATAATAATGATAATAATATAAATAACTGAACTGCTCAGTTGAATAATAATAATAATAATAATAATAATAATAACCCAATGATTCAGCCATATAATAATATAATAATATTGTCCTGGTTTATAAATGTCATAATAATAATAATAATAATAATAATAATAATAATAATAACGGGACTGCTCAGCCCCATAATAATATTAATTATGCTAATAATAACCAAACTATTCAGCCGTATAATAATATAATAATAGTGTCCTGGTTTATAAATGCCATAATAATAACAATATTTTATCAGTTTTTATTAGTTTTTATTTTTATTAGTTTTTATACTAATTTATGCAATGCTTTTGATACGAAATAAATAAATGTCATAATAATAACAATAATATATATAACAGGACTGCTCAGCCCCATAATAATATTAATTATGCTATTAATAACCCAACTATTCCACCCTATAATAATATTGTCCTGGTTTATAAATGTCATAATAATAATAATAATAATATAAATAACTGAACTGCTTAGTCCAATAATAATCATAATCATAATAATAACCCAATGATTCAGCCCTACAATAATATAATAATATTGTCCTGGTTTATAAATGTCATAATAGTAATAATATAAATAATGGGATTGGTCAGCCCCATAATAATATTAATTATGCTAATAATAATAATAATAATAATAATAATAATAATAATCAAACTATTCAGCCCCATAATAATATTGTCCTGGTTTATAAATGTCATAATAATAATAATAATAATATAAATAACTGAACTGCTTAGTCCAATAATAATCATAATCATAATAATAACCCAATGATTCAGCCCTACAATAATATAATAATATTGTCCTGGTTTATAAATGTCATAATAGTAATAATATAAATAATGGGATTGGTCAGCCCCATAATAATATTAATTATGCTAATAATAATAATAATAATAATAATAATAATAATAATCAAACTATTCAGCCCCATAATAATATTGTCCTGGTTTATAAATGTCATAATAATAATAATAATAATATAAATAACGGGACTGCTCAGCCCCATAATAATAATATTAATTATGCTAATAATAACCAAACTATTCAGCTACATAATAATATATTACGCATTAAAAACATTGAAAAACAAGGATTGTGTGCACTCATCAATTAAATAGTACGTTTCGCTAAGTTCAGCACAAATCGACCTTGCTGTCATTAGTAACTGAATTAATCTCTTCCTCCTCATTAATAATTTTTGTGATCGTGGCCAGCTTCCCATGTTGTTTTGGCCACTTGCACGGCCGAAAAGGCATCAAAGGGAAGGTCTTCTCACCTTGGATTTTCTTCCCTTCGTTCTCAGAGGCCACTTCAGCCAAACTGCAAAGAGAGAGAAGAAAAGGGCCATCAGAAAAGAAACAAAACTGGATAATTTGCAGTTACCTCCTTGCAGATGCCCTCCCTGATTGACTTTGCAGCAGAAAGGCTACTCGTCCTCATTGCAACATTCAGACTTGCGTCACATAAACAAAGGTTCTTTTCTCTATCCTGGGTATCATTCCACAGAGGGTGTCTCCAAGCAACAGCGGCCCAGCCATCTATATGCAGAGACCCTCAGTGATTGACTTTGCAGCTGCAAGGCTACTCGTGCTAATAAAGCTTGCTCACTGCAACACTCACACTTGCTTCAAACAGACAAGGGTCCTTTCTCCCACCCTGGAAATAATTCTATAAAGGGTGCCTCCAGGCGACCACAGCCAGGCCACCTCTATGCAGAGACCCTCATGGATTGACTTTGCTACTCAATGCTATTCAAGCTTGCTCACTGCAACACTCACACTTGCTTCACACAGACAAAAGTTCTTCCTCCCAACCTGGACATCATTCCAGAGGGTGTTTCCAGGCAACAAAAGCCAGGCTACCTCTATGCAGAGACCCTCCCTGATTAACTTTGCAACTGCAAGGCTACTCTATACTAATCAGGCTCGCCAACTACAACATCCACACTTGCTTCAAACAGACCAGGGTCCTTTAACCACTCTGGACATTATACCACAGAGGATGCCTCCAGACAACAGAGGTCAGGCCACCCCAATGCAGAGACCTTCACTTCTTGACTTTGCAGATTCATGGCTACTCAATGCTTTTAAGCTTGCTTAATGCAGCATTCAGGCTTGTCTCAAAGAGGCAAGGGTTCTTCCTCCCACCCTGGACATCATTCCACAGAGGATGCCTCCAGGCAACAACAGCTAGGCTACCTCTATGCAGAGACCCTCCCCGACTGACTTTGCAGCTTCATAGCTATTCAAGCTTGCTAACTGGAACACCCACACTTCCTTCAGACAAGGGTTCTTTCTCTTACTCTGGTTACCATTCCACAGAGGGTGCCTCCAGGCAACAGAGGCCAGGCTACCTCTAGGCAGAGACCCTCGCTGATTGACTTTGCAAACTTCATGCCTACTGAATGCTATTCAAGCTTGCCAAGTTCAACATTCAGAGTAGCTTCAAACAGACACGGCTTCTTTCTTCCACCCTGGAAATAATTCCACAGAGGGTGCCTCCAGGCAACAACAGCCGGGCAACCTCTATGCAGAGACCCTCACTGACTGACTTTGCCGCTTCAGGGATACTCCCACTTGGACATCATTCCAGAGAGGGTGCTTCCAGGCAACAACAGCCTGGCAACCTGTATGCAGAGACCCTCACTGATTGACTTTGCAAATGTAATGGCTACTCAGGTGTTAATTCAAGCTTGCTCCTTGCAACATCCACATTTGCTTCAAACAGAAATGGCTTCCTTCTTCCACCCTGGACATCATTCCAGAGAGGGTGCTTCCAGGCAACAACAGCCTGGCAACCTGTATGCAGAGACCCTCACTGATTGACTTTGCAAATGTAATGGCTACTCAGGAGTTAATTCAAGCTTGCTCACTGCAACATCCACATTTGCTTCAAACGGAAATGGCTTCTTTCTCCAGCCCTGGACATCATTCCAGAGAGGGTGCCTCCAGGCAACAACAGCCTGGCAACCTCTAGGCAGAGACCCTCACTGATTGACTTTGCAAAATTATTTATTTATTTCTGATACTTCCCCAGCCCTGGACATCATTCCAAAGAGGGTGCCTCCAGGCGACAGAAGCCAGGCAACCTCTAGGCAGAGACCCTCACTGATTGACTTTGCAAATGTAATGGCTACTCAGGAGTTAATTCAAGCTTGCTCACTGCAACATCCACATTTGCTTCAAACACTTATGGCTTCTTTCTCCAGTCCTGGACATCATTCCAGAGAGGTGCTTCCTCCAGGCAACAACAGCCGGGCAACCTCTATGCAGAGACCCTCACTGATTGACTTTGCAAATGTAATGGCTACTCAGGAGTTATTTCAAGCTTGCTCGTTGCAACATCCACATTTGCTTCAAACGGAAATGGCTTCCTTCTTCCACCCTGGACATCATTCCAGAGAGGGTGCCTCCAGGCAACAACAGCCTGGCAACCTGTATGCAGAGACCCTCACTGATTGACTTTGCAAATGTAATGGCTACTCAGGTGTTAATTCAAGCTTGCTCATTGCAACATCCACATTTGCTTCTTTCTTCCACCCTGGAGATCATTCCAGAGAGGGTGCCTCCAGGCGACAGAGGCCAGGCAACCTCTATGCAGAGACCCTCACTGATTGACTTTGCAAATGTAATGGGCTACTCAGGTGCAACATCCACATTTGCATCCCCAGAGGGTGCCTCCTCCAGGCAACCACAGCCAGGCCACCTCTAGACCCTCTCTGACTGACTTTGCAGCTGCGAGGCCACTCAAGCTGGCCAATGGCAACCCCCACACTGGCTTCACACCCAGGCAAGGCTTCTTTCTCCCTCCCTGGACATTATATAGATATAGAGATATATATAGATATGGCCTTTACCTTGAGGCCGCGAGGAGGAGGAGCCCCGCGAAGAGCCCCACCACCGCCAGCCGCCATCTTGGCCCCATCCTCTCCAAAACAAGGCCACTTCCGCCCTCACGCCGGAAACAGGAAGCGCCGCTTTACGCACTGCGCATGCGCGGAGGGGTGGAGACAGAAAAAGGGGGCGGAGCGAGAGAGAAAACCTCAAAGAGGCCCAGTCAGGATGTTTCCTCCCCAACACCACAGGTTCCCCATCGCAGGCCTGGGCCAAACTTGGGCCCTCCCTCCCTCCCTCCAGGTGTTTTGGACTCCAACTCCCATCATTCCTAACAGCCGGTAGGCTGTTAGGAATGATGGGAGTTGGAGTCCAAAACAACCACCTGGAGGGAGGGAGGGAGGGAGGGAGGGAGGGCCCAAGTTTGGCCCAGGCCTGGTATATAGGCTTTTGCAATTTGTTTTTCCTTGAATTGGAAGAAAATATTATCTATCTCTACATATAGATAATATTTTCTTTCAATCCAATATATATATATATTATATAGAGAGAGAATGTAGTGACCGAGAGGTCATGAGTTCGAAGCCAGCTTGGGTTGGAGTGAGCTCCCGACCATTAGTCTAGCTTGCTGTTGACCTCTGCAGCCCGAAAGACAGTCAAGTAGGAAATTTAGGTTCCGCTTTATAAATCGTTACCCTTTCCCTTAATAGTAATAATAGAGACGTAGCCGCTTTGAGTCTCCACGTGGAAAAACAGAAGAGCGGGGTAATAAATAAACATCGTAATAATAACAACAGCAATGACAGGTAAAGGTAAAGGTTTCCCCCTGACGTTAAGTCCAAAAGCGGGATATAAATAAACATAATAATAATAACAACAACAAGTATAATAGGTGAAGGCAAAGGTTTTCTTCCCCTGACGTGAAGTCCAGTTGTGTCCGACTCTGGTGCTCATCCATTTCTAAGCCGAAGAGACGGCGTTGTCCGTAGACGCCTCCAAAGTCACATGGCCAGCATGACTGCATGGGGCGCAGTTACCTTCCCGCTCAATAGACCTATTGATCTACTTGCATTTGCATGTTTTCGAATTGCTAGTTCGGCAGGAGCTGGGGCTAACAGTGGGAGCTCACCCCGCTCCCTGGATTCGAACCTGCGACCTTTTGGTCAAGAGGTTCAGCAGCTCAGCAGTTTAACCCACGGTGCTACTGGGAACCCCAATACGAATGATAGATAATAACAGATACATAGCTGTTTTCAGTCTCTTTGTGGAGAGAAAAAGTAATAATAATAATAATAATAATAATAATAATAAATTATAATACCAAGGATAAATAGATAATAATAGATACATAGCTGTTTTGGGTCTCCTTGTAGAGAGAAAAAGGAGGAATAATAATAATAATTATAATTATAATTGTAATACTAATGATAAATAAATAATAATAAATACATAGCCGCTTTGAGTCTCCTTGTGCGGAGAAAAAGGGGGAATAATAATGATAATAATAATAAATTGTAATACCAATGATAAATAGATAATAATAATAGATACATAGCTGTTTTGAGTCTTCTTGTGGAGAGAAAAAGGGGGAATAATAATAATAATAATCATAATCAAAATAATAAATTGCAATACTAATGATAGATAAATAGATAATAATAGATACATAGCAGCTTTTAGTCTCCTTGTGGAGAGAAAAAGGGGGGATTATTATTATTATTATTAATAATAATAATAATAATAAATTGTAATACCAATTATAGATAAATAATAATAATAAATAATAATAGATACATAGGTGAGTCTCCTTATGGAGAGAAAAGGTGGAGTAATAATAATAATAATAGTAGAAATAATAATAATAATATGTTCTAATACTGATAATAGATACATAGCAGCTTTTAGTCTCCTTGTGGAGAGAAAAAAGGGGATTATTATTATTATTACTATTAATAATAATATTAATAAATTGTAATACCAATGATAAATAATAATAATAATAATAATAATAATAATAATAAATAATAATAAATAATAATAATAGATACATAGGTGAGTCTCCTTATGGAGAGAAAAGGTGGAGTAATAATAATAATAGTAGAAATAATAATAATAATATGTTCTAATACTGATAATAGATACATAGCCACTTTGAGTCTCCTTGTGGAGGAAAAACAGTATAAATAATAATAATAATAATTATTATTATTATAAATTGTAATACTAATGATAAATAGATAATAATAAATACATAGCTGCTTTGAGTCTCCTTGTGGAGTGAAACAGCGGAGTATAAATAATAATAATAATAGTAATAAGTTATAATACTGATAATAGTAATTAAACGGACTGCAGGCATGGACCTTTCCCATCCCAGATTATATCCTGCCTCCATTCTCCCACTCAAAAGCCCAGAACTCTGCCTTGGCCAAGCTTCGTAGTGGACGCAAGCATCCTCATTGGGCGCAGCAGCATCCATAGGGAACGAACCAGGAACAACCCGGCCAGTGCGGACGCCTCGCCTGCTGGAGGTTGGAATGGGAAAGAAATCCGGGAGGCGTGGAGCAAGAGAGTGGGGTTTTCATTTTTATATACAAGACACATTTATCCATTAAATTTAGAACACAGTACAAAAAAAACACTTCAACTAATTAATCTTACAACGCGGTTCATATCAATTACTGCTCTTATTCCTAATAGTAAAGGGGGGGGGAGGGGAGGGGGGAAGGGGGGGTGTTGACTCCTTTGGATCCGCGGTCTCGTTGTTTGTTTATCTGATCGGGGCGGAAAAAGGGATCGGGGAAAAGGGAGGAGTAGAAAAACAAAACGACAACCGAAAAGGGAAACGGAAAAAAGAAAAAGGCCCCTCCGGCGGAACAAACGGCTCGTAATCGGAACGAAAGGAAGAAGAAAGCAAAAGAGGAGGAGAAATGAAAAGATACAAATCCTATATTACATACAAGAGGAGGAGGGGGAGGGGGCCCAGGGCGGGGGGCAAGGGGCTTCGTATGATTTGCAGAGCCCGGCTTGGGGCCAAGGCGCTCGGGGGGCCCGCCTCCTTCCTTCGGGGGCAAATGGGGGCCGCTTCCTCTTCCTGGATGGATGGATGGGTGAGTGGGTATGTAGGTGGGTGGATAGATGGAGGGGGGGGGGCTTTTCGCTCGTCCGTCTGTCCGTCTTGTCTGTCTGTCGCTCGTCCGTCCGTCCGTCTGCCGGTCATTGGGTTGAAGTGTGGCCTCCCGCTGATGCTGCCGCTGCTGACGCCGCCGCCGCTCAGTTGGCGCCCCAGTTGTAGCTGTTGTAGGCCGACTTGCTGGCCTGAGACTTCTGCGGGATGGAGCTGCCCTGGCTGCGCTGACCGGTCCCGCTCTGCCAAAGGGGAAAGGCAACAAGGCCGGGAGTGAGTCAAGAAACTCAACAGGATCCCACAGGGTGACCCAGCAGCGCAAAAGGCCATAGGCTGCTCCCAAAGGAGTCTCGTGTCCAGATGCACAAAGGTCATACAGCCACGGCTTGACCATAGTAATATCTATAGCTGAACGTAAGCCAAGAGGGTGATGCAGCAGCACAAAAGGACATTAAGATCGTCTGGGGAAGCCCTGCTCTCGATCCCGCCGGCTTCACAAGCGCGCCTGGCGGGGACGAGAGACAGGGCCTTCTCAGTGGTGGCCCCTCGGCTGTGGAACGCCCTTCCTGCAGATCTCAGATCGGCCCCCTCCTTGCTGGCATTCCAGAGGAAAGCAAAGACTTGGCTGTTTGAACAGGCATTCAACTAAGCAGTGTGATTGATTGACTGAATATCGGATACCGTGTTTGGATTCTGATTTCATTGACAAGATCTGATGGATTTCTTATATTGATGTAGTGATGTATTGATATTGATGTTTAATGATTTGTGATGCTATTGCTTTTAAATGCTTAATGATTTTTTATTGTGTATACCTAAATTGTTGTAAACCGCTCTGAGTCACCTAAGGGATGAGAAGAGCGGTATACAAAGAAAGTAAATAAATAAATAAATAAATGCGAGCCTAAGCATCCAGGGGAGTCTAGTGTCCAGATGGAGGAAAATAATAATAATACATTATTTATTATTGTTATTAATAATAATAATAAAAAAGAGTTAATTATTATTATTATTATTATTATTATTATTTTACTGTGTTATTGTGTCAGTAAAATAATAATAATAATAAATTAATAATACTAATAATAATGTTTTTTATTATTATTATTATTATTTTACTGTGTTTTTGTGTTAATACAGCCATGGCTTGAACTTAGTAATATATAGAGCTGAACGTAAGCCAAGAGGGTGACGCAGCAGCACAAAAGGCCAATGCGAGCCTAAGCTCCATCCAGAGGAGTCTAGTGTCCAGATGGAGGAAAATAATAATAATAATAATAATAATAATAAATTATTATTATAATTATTATTATTATTTTACTGTGTTTTTGTGTCAGTAAAATAATAATAATAATAATAATAATAATAATAATAAACAAAAGGCCAATGCGAGCCTAAGCTCCATCCAGAGGAGACTAGTGTCCAGATGGAGGAAAATAATACAGCCACAGCTTGACCATAGTAATATAATACCATTATTATTATATACCTTGATGTTATTAATATAGCCATGGCTTGACCATAATAATATATATAGCTGAACATGAGCCAAGAGGGTGATGCAGCAGCGCAAAAGGCCAATGTGATTCTAGACTGCTCCCAAAGGAGTCTTGTGTCCAGATGCACAAAGGTCATACAGCCATGGCTTGACCATAGTAATATCTATAGCTGAACATAAGCCAAGAGGGTGACACAGCAGCGCAAAAGGCCAATGCGAGCCTAAGCATCCAGGGGAGTCTAGTGTCCAGATGGAGGAAAATAATAATAATAATAAAAAATTATTTATTATTGTTCTTAATAATAATAAAGAGATTATTATTATTATTATTTTACTGTGTTATTGTGTCAGTAAAATAATAATAATAATAATAATAATAATAATAATTTAATAATAATACTAATAATAATGTTTATTATTATTATTTTACTGTGTTTTTGTGTTAATACAATGACTCTGAGTGGGTCAGGGCAGCAGATATTCGAGCGCCAAAGCTAATTAGGGGTTTTCATGTAAATTATCTCATGAAACCTAGTTAAGGTCGATGCTGCCGGTGTTTATGTTTTTCTTTGTGAAACTCACACTTCGATAATTTTGCATAGAGCTGTGCTTGTCTTAGGCTTTGTAACACTTGCTTCACTAGCGGAATGTATTCCTCCAACGTTCGGGAATAGATTAAGGCGTCATATAAGTAAACCAAAAACCCCTTATACAGCAATGGGTGTAGGACCTCGTTTATGATCTGCATGAACACTCGAGGAGCTCCAGTCAACACGAAAGGTAACACTTTGTACTGAAATGCCCCTAGTGCACAGTACAATGCCGCCTTCCATTCATCCCCTTTTTTTATTCTCACCCGAAAATAGGCTTCCCTCAGATCCAACTTCATGAAGATCCTTCCCTTTGACAAATGTCCCAACATATCTTTCTCTAAAGGCATAGGGTATTGATTTGAAATACATATGGCATTCAGACCTCTAAAATCAGTACAAAGTCTCAAGGTGCCATCCTTTTATGGTCTAAACGGCACAGGAGTAGCTAATGGGGAATTTACGGGTTCTATGAACCCTCTTGCTAAATTTTTGTCCATGAACTCACGCAGACAATCCTTCTCCCTTGGTGACATAGCATACATCTTAGGTTTTGGCAATTTAGCTTGAGGGTCTATGTTTATGGCACAGTGGGGAGGCAGCTGATCAGACTCCTCCTCATCAAAAACATCCAGGTACTGCGGTAAACATCCGGCACCCCACTAAATGGCATGCCTACTTTCCCTGCCACCCCTGTCAGGCCCAAACCCACTTTGCCCACAACTTTTCCTTTTTTAGTTCTTGAGATCATACAGGTTGGTGAGTAACTTCCACCATTAAAGTCAGCAGTGTCTTTCTTTGCTGCAGAGATACAAGCAATATATTCATTTCCAAGCAAAACCGGCTTGTGAGTGATCATTTAATATTGCTATATAAAACCTACAGTCTTATATTAAGACACTACTGATTTTTTCCCACCACCACCACAGTGGTGGCACAGTGGGTTAAATCCCTGTGCCGGCAGGACTGAAGACCAACAGGTTGCAGGTTCGAATCCAGGGAGAGGTGGATGAGCTCCCTCTACCAGCTCCAGCTCCTCATGCGGGGACATGAGAGAAGCCTCCCACAAGGATGATAAAACATTAAATCATCCGGGCGTCCCCTGGGCAACGTCCTTGCAGGCGGCCAATTCTCTCACACCAGAAGTGACTTGCAGATTCTCAAGTCTCTCCTGACACGACCAAAAAAACCACCACCACTTCTTTTTATACACCTTTCCTGCCCATTTCCTCCTCTTCTCGGTTTCCTTATTAGAGCTTGTTGCTTCACAAGTTCCAATACATGGTTTCCAGCACCCTCTGCTGACTTCAAAATATTACAGAGAGAAAAAGCAGCCAGGATGATTCAGTCAGGATGTCACGGAGGGAATTTGTGATGTCTTCATGCCGTCAGAAATTGACTCCTGACAATAGCTGAACATAAGCCAAGAGGGTGATGCAGTTTTTGTGTCAGTAAAATAATAATAATAAATTAATAATAAGTTTATTATTATTATTATTTTACTGTATTTTTGTGTCAGTAAAATAATAATGTTGTCAATAGGGGCCTGGGGGGAGGGGCGGAGCTTCCTTGGGCCTTACCTGCCCATCCTGCTGCAGGTGGTGGTGCAAGATCTGGGAGTGGGCCTGCTGGTGCGGGGTCAGGATGTGCATGAAGGGCGCCGGCGGGTAGGCCGCCGCCGTGGCCGGGTTGATGGGTCCACCGCTGCCCAGGGCTGAGGGCAGGTTGAAGGAGGCCGCCGGGGTCCCGGTGTGGAAACCCTGCTTCTCAAAGGATTGCTGCGGGAGGAAGAGGAAAAGAGGGTGACATGGCACACAGTTCGGGGGCAGTCAGCATCTCCAACAGGGGAAAACATTCAAAACGGTAAAGCAGCAACAGCAGCAGTTCAGAAGCTTCAAATGCTAGCAGTAGAGTCATCGAGCTCCCAAAACTTTGAAAAATTATAGAAGATGTCAGTCAAAGAACTACATAATGAGACTGGAAAGTAAACAGGGCCTAAGAGGGTTGTGTTGGGAGGGGATCTGTAAAAAAGCAAAAAGCATTCGTAAAGGCAAAGCAGCAACAGCAGCAGTTCAGAAGCTTGAATGCTAGCAGCAGAGCCATTGCGCTTCTGAAACTTTGAAAAATTAAGAGAAGAATTACATAACAAGATTGGAAAGTAAACAGGGCCTAAGAGGGTTGTGTTGGGAGATTAGCAAAAATGTAAAGCAGCAATAGCAGCAGTTCAGAAGCTTCAAATATTAGCAATAGAGTCATCGAGCTCCCAAAGCTTTGAAAAATAATAGAAGATGTCACTCAAAGAACTACAAAACAAGACTGGAAAGTAATCAGGGCCTAAAAGGGTTGTGTTGGAAGTGGATTTGCAAAAATGTAAAGCAGCAACAGCAGCAGTTCAGAAGATTCGAATGCCAGCAGTAGAGCCACTGAGCTTCCAAAGCTTTGCAAAATTACGGAAGACGTCACTCAAAGAACTACATAATGAGACTGGAAAGTAAACAGAGCCAAAGAGGATTTTGTTGGGAGGAGATTAGCAAAACATAAAGCAGCAACAGCAGCAGCAATTCAGACGCTTCGAATGCCAGCTGTAGAGCCATTGAGCTTCCAAAACTTTGCAAAATTATAGAAGACGTCACTCAAAGAACTACGTAACAAGACTGGAAAGTAAACAGGGCCTAAGAGGGTTGTGTTGGGAGGGGGTTTGCAAAAACGTAAAGCAGTAACAGCAGCAGTTCAGAAGCTTCGAGTGCCAGCAGTAGAGTCATCGAGCTGCCAAAGCTTTGAAAAATTATATAAGATGTCACTTAAAGAACTAAATAACGAGACTGGAAAGTAAACAGGGCCTAAGAGGGTTGTGTTGGGAGAGGATTTGCAATAAAGGAAAAAGCATTCGTAAAGACAAAGCAGTAACAGCAACAGATCAGAAGCTTTGAGTGCTAGCAGCAGAGCCATTAGGTCAAGCTTCAAAAGGTACAAAAGACTTCATTCAAAACACCAGACATCTAGATGGGAAAGTAAAACAGGGCCTAGCTATTTATCTAACTCACAGCAGACACCTCGTCCCTCTCCATGCTCACAGGAGAAGGGCAAAAACAGAGGACTCTGGGTCTTGCCATGCACTCATCTGCCTACCTAAGCCCTCAATGAGGACTATAGTCTTGTGGAGGATGTGCTTGAGTTTGAAAAGACCTCACCTCCCATGCTTCTGGGAGCCCTTTCATTCCCCTTTTGTTGTGAGAGGCATTGCTGAAACACTGTGGAGCAAGGGGGAAGGAAAAGAAGAGAAGGTGTGCCCAGCTCTGACCCAGAGACTCACCTGCGTTTTGGAGTAGACAGAGCCAGAGATGTCCGGCACACCCGTGTTACTGGATGTCACTGACACGCCTGAGAGAAGGAGAGGAAACACAATGAGCAGCCGGTTGGTTGAGCCGTTGAGACCCCGAATGCAAAGTCAGACCCCAAAGACAAATGACAAAAAATCATAAACTTGACCGGTGATGGCATGATCGTAAGCATAGATGAAACTCTCTGTCTGCAGGAATTAACTGTAATGCACACCTTTTTTGGCCAAATGCCAAAGAGGGCATATTTTGTGGTTGTACACGATATCTAGCAGCAAATACCTGCTGCTCCGGGCCTATTGTTTCCCACCTGTGCTGTATCCGTGGGAGCCGTAGCCGCTGGGCTGCTGGAAAGGGGTGGCCGAGGCGTTGACGCTGACGTTGACGCTGTGCTGCTTGGAAGATGTGGGGGCCACCTGCGGAAAGGGACAAGGGCCCCAGCACCGTGTTAGGAAGGCAACATCAGATTTCTCACAAAATCTCAGTGAGTAAAGGCCTCAGTGTTAGTTCGCCTCAGTGGGAGAAAGGTGTCAGTCTGAGAGAACGCCTCAGTGAGAAAAGCCCTCAGTGTTGGTTCGCCTCAGTGGGAGAAAGGTGTCAGTGTGAGGTAGACCTCAGTGTGAGTTCGCCTCAGTGGGAGAAAGGTGTCAGTCTGAGAGAACGCCTCAGTGAGAAAAGCCCTCAGTGTTGGTTCGCCTCAGTGGGAGAAAGGTGTCAGTGTGAGGTAGACCTCAGTGTGAGTTCGCCTCAGTGGGAGAAAGGTGTCAGTCTGAGAGAACGCCTCAGTGAGAAAAGCCCTCAGTGTTGGTTCGCCTCAGTGGGAGAAAGGTGTCAGTGTGAGGTAGACCTCAGTGTGAGTTCGCCTCAGTGGGAGAAAGGTGTCAGTCTGAGAGAACGCCTCAGTGAGAAAAGCCCTCAGTGTTGGTTCGCCTCAGTGGGAGAAAGGTGTCAGTGTGAGGTAGACCTCAGTGTGAGTTCGCCTCAGTGGGAGAAAGGTGTCAGTCTGAGAGAACGCCTCAGTGAGAAAAGGCCTCAGTGTTAGTTCGCCTCAGTGGGAGAAAGGTGTCAGTCTGAGAGAACGCCTCAGTGAGAAAAGCCCTCAGTGTTGGTTCGCCTCAGTGGGAGAAAGGTCTCAGTGTGAGGTAGACCTCTGTGTGAGTTCGCATCAGTGGGAGAAAGGTGTCAGTCTGAGAGAACGCCTCAGTGTGAAAAGGCCTCAGTGTTGGTTCACCTCAGTGGGAGAAAGGTGTCAGTCTGAGAGAACGCCTCAGTGAGAAAAGGCCTCAGTGTTAGTTTCCCTCAGTGAGAGAAAGGTCTCAGTGTGAGGTAGACCTCTGTGTGAGTTCGCATCAGTGGGAGAAAGGTCAGTCTGAGAGAACGCCTCAGTGAGAAAAGGCCTCAGTGTTAGTTCACCTCAGTGGGAGAAAGCTGTCAGTCTGAGAGAACGCCTCAGTGAGAAAAGGCCTCAGTGTTAGTTTGCCTCAGTGGGAGAAAGGCTTCATTGTGAGGTAGACTTCTTGTGTGAGTTCGCATCAGTGGGAGAAAGGTGTCAGTCTGAGAGAACGCCTCAGTGAGAAAAGGCCTCAGTGTTAGTTTGCCTCAGTGGGAGAAAGGCTTCACTGTGAGGTAGACCTCTGTGTGAGTTCGCATCAGTGGGAAAAGGCCTCAGTGTTAGTTTGCCTCAGTGGGAGAAAGGCTTCATTGTGAGGTAGACCTCTTGTGTGAGTTCGCATCAGTGGGAGAAAGGTGTCAGTCTGAGAGAACGCCTCAGTGAGAAAAGGCCTCAGTGTTAGTTTGCCTCAGTGGGAGAAAGGCTTCACTGTGAGGTAGACCTCTGTGTGAGTTCGCATCAGTGGGAAAAGGCCTCAGTGTTAGTTTGCCTCAGTGGGAGAAAGGCTTCATTGTGAGGTAGACCTCTTGTGTGAGTTCGCATCAGTGGGAGAAAGGTGTCAGTCTGAGAGAACGCCTCAGTGAGAAAAGGCCTCAGTGTTAGTTTGCCTCAGTGGGAGAAAGGCTTCATTGTGAGGTAGACCTCTGTGTGAGTTCGCATCAGTGGGAGAAAGGTGTCAGTCTGAGAGAACGCCTCAGTGGGAGAAAGGCTTCATTGTGAGGTAGACCTCAGTATGAGTTCGCATCAGTGGGAGAAAGGTGTCAGTCTGAGAGAACGCCTCAGTAAGAAAAGGCCTGTGTTGTTTCGCCTCAGTGGGAGAAAGGTGTCAGTTGGAGAAACGCCTCAGTGAGAAAAGGCCTCAGTGTTAGTTTGCCACAGTGGGAGAAAGGCTTCATTGTGAGGTAGACCTCAGTGTTGGTTCACCTCAGTGGGAGAAAGGTGTCAGTCTGAGAGAACGCCTCAGTGAGAAAAGGCCTCAGTTTTAGTTCACCTCAGTGGGACAAAGGCCTCAGTGTGAGTTAGGCCTCAGTGTTGGTTCGCCTCAGTGGGAAAAACACCTCAGTATGAGGTAGGCCTCAGTGTTAGTTCACATCAGTGGGAGAAAGGTGTCAGTCTGATAGAACACCTCAGTGAAAAAAGGCCTCAGTTTGCCTCTGTGGGAGAAAGGCCTCAGTGTGTGGATCTTAAGTGAGAGGAAGCCCCAGGCCATTGTTTGGAGTGTGTCTGCGGAGTGTGATCCAGATGTCCTTTGGGGTACCCACTCCCCCCCGATTGGACTCACGGGGAAGACGGCCGGCCCGTACTGGAAGGTGCTGGGCAGTCCCGGGACGCCGGTGTAGTAGGGCAGGCTGGTGTAGCTGTACCCGGGCGGGAGGGCCGGGTTGAGGAAGGCCTGCTGGGTGGTGTGGTGCGTCTGCGTCTGGCTCTGCTGCGGCTGCGCCAGCGTCGTGGCCGGAGACGGCGAGGAGGCGTCGCCCCGACCAAACTTTGCCAGGTCACCTGGGGTCAAACGGCAAGAAGTCAACGCCCGGCCCACGTTTGGGTCAGCAAACCCACAAGAGGAGGAGGGCCTGCTTCCTCCCCTTTCCCACCCAACGCTCTCCTTTTAAAGGGCCAGTGCAGACAAGGGGCAGCCCCTTAAAGGGACAGGCACACACCAAACAAGCCGGAGGCGGCCGTACCAGAGTAAGGGTTGCTGCTCAAGCTGGCGTCCCTCCCAGTCAGCGGGGTGGTCGGCGTGGGGAATGGGATGCTGTAGTAGTCCTGCAAGGGGAGAAGGAAAGAAAGGGTCAGAAGCGGAGGGAAGGAGGAGCCCAGCATTAGAGACCCCCAGGAGAGCCCCCCCCCCAACTGCCCCCCGGACTGAACAGCAAGGTTTTGTCAACACTAGGTTTCTCTGGAGGATTGGAAGCAGGGCCATCTATCGGGAGGGCTTTGGTTGTATCTTCCTTTATGGCCCTTTCCAACTCTAGGATCCTATCCATCCTTCCGCCTATTATGGCAGAAGGAGGTTGGACTAGATGGCCTTCTTTGGGGGCCCCCGAAGAGAGAGCCCTCCTCCTCCTCCAACTCACCAAGGGGAACCTTGTCTGGAGCATCTGGAGGTCATCGTAGCCATAAACCTGCGGCTGGAAGCACAAGGAAAAGACCCATGAGAAACCACCAGGAAGTCAAGCCTCCGGTCAAGGTGAATAGAAAATACTATCATAATCAATATCAGAATATCAAATAATTAGAATAATACAATATAACAATGCATACAAGAATAATACACACAACAACAATAATCCAAACAAGAATAATAGATAATAAATAAAATAAAAAGCAGGGTATCATTAATAATTATAATAATAATTTAATAATGCATGAACAATAATATAATATAATAATAACAATAATACATTCTAAAGTAATAATAAACACATAATAGTCAATAATAGCTACATAATAGGCAAGCCTCCGTTCGGGGTGGAAAGAAAATATTTATCATAATAAATATTAGAATATCAAATAAATAGAATAATACAATACAATAATAATTTAATAATACCTGAACAATAATATAATATAATAATAACAATAATACATTATAAAGTAATAATAGATACATAATAGTCAATAGTAGATACATAATAGTCAAGCCTCCGTTCGGGGTGAAAAGAAAATACTATCATAATAAATATTAGAATATCAAATAAATAGAATAATACAATATAACAATGCATACAAGAATAATACACACAACAACAATAACCCAAACAATAATAATAGATAATAAATAAAATAAAAAGCAAGGTATAAATAATAATTATAATAATAATGTAATAATGCATGAACAATAATATAATATAATAATAACAATAACCCAAACGACGATAACTCAAACAAGAATAATAGATGACAATAAATAAAATAAAAAGCAGGGTATAATTAATAATAATAATAATAATAATAATAATTTAATAATGTATGAACAATGATATAATATAATAATAATAATAATTTAATAATAATAATAATAATAATTTAATAATGTATGAACAATGATATAATATAATAACAATAATACATTCTAAAGTAATAATAGACAGATAATAGTCAATAATAGATACATAATAGTCAAGCCACCATTCAGGGTGAAAAGAAAATACTATCATAATAAATATTAGAATATCAAATAAATAGAATAATACAATATAACAATGCATACAAAAATAATACACACAACAACAATAACCCAAACAAAATAATATATAACAATAAATAAAATAAAAAGCAGGGTATAAATAATAATTATAATAATTTAATAATACCTGAACTATAATATAATATAATAATAACAATAATACATTCTAAAGTAATAATAAACACATAATAGTCAATAATAGATACGTAATAGTCAAGCCTCCAGTCGGGGTGAAAAGAAAATACTATCATAATAAATATTAGAATATCAAATAAATAGAATAATACAATATAACAATGCATACAAGAATAATACACACAACAACAATAATCCAAACAAGAATAATAGATAACAACAAATAAAATAAAAAGCAGGGTATAATTAATAATAATTTAATAATGCATGAACAATAATATAATATAATAATAACAATAACCCAAACGACAATAACCCAAACAAGAATAATAGATAACAACAAATAAAATAAAAAGCAGGGTATAAATAATAATTATAATAATAATAATAATTTAATAATGCATGAACAATAATATAATATAATAATAACAATAGCCCAAACAACAATAACCCAAACAAGAATAATAGATAACAATAAATAAAATAAAAAGCAAGGTATAAATAATAATTATAATAATAATAATAATAATGTAATAATACATGAACAATAATATAATATATTAATAACAACAATACATTCTAATACTAATAATAGATACATAGCTGTTTTGAGTCTCCTTGTAGAGATAAAAAGCAGGGTATTATTTTATTATTCTTATTATTAATAATACTAAGAATAGGAAGGAGGTGTGGCGTACTCACCGGATAGGCGTGGAGGAGCCCCGGGGCCATGATGTAGGGGTTGGGCAGCAAAGGGGGCACCCCGGGAGGCAGGTTGGGAGGAGCCTTCCCTGCAAGGAGGAAGAGGAAGAGGAAGAGGAAGGAGGCAGGCACCTCTGAGAAGGAGGAAGGAGCAAGCGCCAGGCAGAGAGGAGGCCCAGCCTGCATCTCAGGCCCCAGCCTGGCCCATGGGGCTTCTCCCAATGGCCACATCCCACTCCCCAGGAGGACACTGGGGGATTCCCAGTTTGCAATTCCTCTCCAAGAAGGGATAGCTGGATATCCAGCCCCAGATAGATCTATCTGTCTGTCTGTCTCTGCAGATTTTAGTCAAAAAGAATAGCTGTATTATATATATATATATACACAGTAGGCCTGGGTAATAGGCCTGGGTAACAACGGAAAAAATTGTTTCTAAACTCGTTTCGTTTTTAGGGGTCCATTGTGTTTCGTTTTTTTAAAGAATTCCGAAATTTTCCTTTTAAAAATTTCGAAATTTACGAAATTTCATATAATTACAAATCGAATCGTTAATGGCGGACGCGATTGCGCAATATGCTAAAAAACCCTCCAAATGGGACCGGGGGATCTCCTGAAGCTTCCCTCTCCCTCTGTTGTTGACTGTTGGTGTGATAATTTATTTTTTTTATCATTGATAAAACAAACAACAACCATAAAACTTGCACCAGACATGCCAAAATAATTACAAAATAATTTCGAAATAAATTGAAAAAATGGTTTCGAGTCTTTATTACTCCTCACACTATTCCTGCATGGCTCAATATTGGATCGTAAGCTAATTTAAATACGAATTAATAACGAATTACGAAATTAACGAACGAAACCGCCCAAGCCTAATATACAGCTATCCTTTTTGATAGAGTCTATCTATCTATTTATCTCTCTATGGATATACAGCTATTATTTCTGGACTGAGATTTTAATCAAAAGTATACCTGCATATCCATATCCACATCCATATATGTGTGTGTGTGTGTGTGTGTGTGTGTGGAAACTTTGGTCAAAAGGATAGCTGTATATCCATATCCATACACACACGCACACACACACATATATATATAAACACGCACAGTGTGTGTGTGTGTACATATTATATATATATATAGCCAAAGGGATAGCACTATATTATGTGTGTGTGTGTGCAAATGTCATTCCCAAAGGATAGCATATATGTGATAATAATAATAATAATAATGTATTTATTTGACTAGTCATATGACCATTTCAAAATACAACACGAATAAATTGCAAGGCAAAAAGGAGAGGACAGCAGCTGATCTTCTATTTACAGTCACATATAGAATATATGTGAGAATATACAGGTATCATTTGGGACCATATATATACGGACCAGAGTGAAGAGAGGGGGCCAGGAAGACAGTTCCACCTTGTCTCCTGCACTGTGCTAATAATATAATATAATATATTGTATATACATTTAATATTGATAATGTTATAATGTAATACAATAGTAGTAGTAATAATAATATGACATTATAATTATATATTTTATATTACATGTCATAGTACTAATAATATAACAGTATAAGGGTATAGTATAATATATAATACTAATATTGTGCTATGGTAATCATATAATATATACAGGCTGCTTACCTGTAACCATAGTTTCCCGAGTGGTCACTTGTGAATTTGCACATATGGTTATTCCTGCGCCTGCGCAGAGTAGCTTCGGAACCTTCTAGCAAAATTATCAAACATTTTTGGCGGTAGCCCCGCCCACTGTTTATATATACTCTTGGGGGAGAGTGGGCGGGGCTACCAACAAAAATGTTTGATCATTTTTCTAGAAGGTTCCGAAGCTACTCTGCGCAGGAATAACCATATGTGCGATTCACAGTTGACCACGATGGGAAAATTGTATTTACTCTTGTAAGCCACTTCGGGGTAAGAAGGGCGGCATATAAATGTCATAGATAGATAGATGTATGTGTGTCTGAAAACTATAAGAGAGCTGTATATTCTCAAATATATATGTCTGAAAATTTCAGTCAAAAAGAATACATACACATATATAAAGACAAATAGGATTGTAGTATATTATACTCATATGTGTGTGTATATATATATATGTGTATATATATGGTAATTTTGGTCTAAGGGAGTTCTGTCTATTGTCATATCTCGAAACCTAGAACGGTGAGTCCAACCCTTGACGCTGCAAAACCCGTGTGGACGGATCCACGGGTGGGTGTACCTGAGGTGGTGGCCACGGAGCTGCGGCTGGTGGCGGTGACGGTGGAGTTGCTGCCCAGGCTGAGGCCCAGGCTGCTGGCGCTGCTGCTGCTGCTGCTGAGGCCGGAGGAGGAGGAGGAGGAAGAGGAGGCGTTGGTGTTGACGGCGTTGGCGCTGGGCACCGGCGGAGGAGGCGGCGGAGCGGCCGAGACCGAGGAGGAGGAGGAAGAGGAGGCGGAGAAGGTGCTGGCCGAGGAGTGCAGCCCGGCCTCGCTCTCCCCGCTCGGGTGCTGAGCGAGAAGAAGGGGGGCGACAACACAAAGGATGTCAGGGCAACAAAACAATGCGCCCCCTATTCTTTTGGGGGACCCTCTTCCAGTTCTGGAGGTTCCGGAACTGAGGCTGGGTGGCCATCTGTCGAGAGGGATTAGATTGCATCCCCCATAGAGCATTCCAAACACATGGAAATGGCCCCCACAAACAAAGTCTTCCCATACAGTCTGAGTTCAGAAACCTCCACTGGAAGAGGGACCCCCAGAGGGCATCTAGTCCAAACTCCATCAGCCAGGCAGGAATGCACAATCAAAGCCCTCTCAACAAACAACCATCCAGCCTCAGGTCTGAACACTCCACAGAAGGAGACTCCACTGGACTCCCAAGCAGCTGGAATGGACCCCCCCCCCCTGGCAAAAGGGCATCTAGTCCAGCTCCCCTCAGCCATGGAGGACACAATCTAATCCCTCTCGACAGACAGCCATCCAACCTCAGTTCCGAAACCTCCAGGGAAGGAAATTCCACTGGACTCCCAAGCAGCTGGAATGGACACCCCCCCCCCCAAAAGGGTAACTAGTCCAGCTCCCCTCGGCCATGGATGACACAATCTAATCCCTCTCGACAGACAGCCATCCAACCTCCGTTTTGAAACCTCCAGAACTGGGTCCCCCAAAGGGCATCTAGTCCAGCCCCCTTCGGCCTGGCAGGAAGACACAGTCAAAGCCCTCCCAACAGTTGGCCAGCCAGCCTCCATTTAATAAAATCCAGAGAAGAAGACTCCACTGGAAGAGGGGCCCCCAAAGGGCATCCGGTCAGCCAGGCAGAAAAAGCACAGTCAAAGCACTCTCAAAAGATGGCCATTCACCCTCCAGAGAAGGAGACTCCACTGGACTGCCACATGCTTTACTATATTTGGAAGGGACCCTCAAAGAGCATCTAGTCCAGCCTCCTTCCACCAGGCAGGAAGACACAGTTAAAGCCCTCCCAACAGATGGCCATTCAACCTCCAGAGAAGGAGACTCCACTGGAAGAGGGCCCCCCAAAGGGCATCCAGTCCACCCGCTTCAGGCAGGCAGGAAAAGTACAGTCAAAGCCCTCCCAACAGATGGCCATCCAGCCTCAGTTCAGAAATTGTTCAGAGAAGGAGACTCCACTGGAAGAGGGGGCCCCAAAGGGCATGCAGTCCACCCCCTTCAGCCAGGCAGGAAAAGCGGTCAAAGCCCTCCCAAGAGATGGCCATTCAACCAGCAGGACTCTCTAACAGAAAAGGGTCCCAACGACACGGAGGAAGCCTTCTTACCAAGAGGGTGGAAGTGGATGTGCGTCCGGAGGAAGTGGAGGAGGAGAGGCTGTTCTGCGGGGCCGACAACGTGCTGCTGGGGAGAAAGAGAGCCGGTCAGGGGGAAACAGGCCGGTCTTGGGCCATCTGATATTATATTGTCATTACCTTATTGTAATATTTGGTTATTGATCACATTTGATTTGATGTTATTGTTTGTTGTACGTATTTTATTTTGCCTTATTGTGACAAGGATTGTCATTTGCCAGGGTTTTGGAAACGGTGCATGAGACCCAATTCAACACGATAGGATGGCGCTGGGGCAAAGCGCCCGGGATCCCACCCTCTCTCCCTCCCTGCTGCTACCTGCTGTGCTGCGAGGAGGCCGCGCTGGGCATCTCCTCGGCGTGGTTGAGGCCGCTGAGGACCGAGGGGTGCTGCTGCGGGGCGGTGGTCAGCAGGGAGGCCGCCGAGGCCGCGTCCGAGAGCGGGGCCGCCAGGCTGGGCGCCGAGGGGGAGTCCGGCTTCACCGTGGGGCCCGAGGGACCTACAACACAGGGCCAAAGGGAGAGGCAACCACTTACCCCACATGGCCCACGGTCTTTTTCCCACGGAGCCAGCCGTCACTCACCCTCTGTCTTTGCACTCCACTTACCTTCGGCCGCCTGCGTGGTTTGCAACTGCGAGGACGCCACCGAACTGAAGCCATTCTAAGGACAGAAAGGCAGAGGAACGGTCAGCCCTGGCCTCGACCACTGGATACCAGCACTTTGGCTTTTGTTGTCGTTTTATTATTATTTCCAGTGTGTACACATTACAACACAACTATTGGTATATATATAAAGCCACCAATTAAAAATAGTAATCTTACACCTTCTAATAATTGCACGTGAAGTAAAGGCTGCCTACCTGTAACTGTGTTTCTCCGAGTGGTCATCTGTGAAATTCGCTCATATGTGTGATTTCACAGAGACCACGCTGGAGAAATAAATTATTATTACTTATCATTAAATTATTATTATTTCTAGCATTAAATTAATAATTATTACCATTAAATTATTATCATAATTAAATTATTATTATTATCATTAAATTAATAATCATCAAAATCATCAAATTATTTTTATCATTAAATTAATTTATTGTCGAAGGTTTCATGGCCAGATTCAGTGGGTTGTTGTAGGTTTTTTCGAGCTATATGGCCATGTTCTAGAGCAGGGGTTCTCAAACTAAGGCCCGAGGGCCAGATGCGGCCCTCCAAGGTTATTTACCCGGCCCTCGCTGAGGGTCAACCTAAGCCTGAAACAACTTGAAAGCACACAACAACAACAATCCTATCTCATCAGCCAAAAGCAGGCTCACAATTCCCATTGAAATACTAATAAGTTTATATTTGTTAAAATTGTTCTTCATTTTAATTATTGTATTGTTCTAAAGTGTTTTTTTTTTGCACGACAAATAAGATATGTGCGGTGTGCATAGGAATTCAGTCATGTTTTTAAAAAATTATAATCTGGCCCTCCAACAGTCAGACAGACTGTGAGTGACCTTGCCCTCTGTTAAAAAAAAAGTCTCAGGACCCCTGTTCTAGAGGCATTCTCTCCTGACATTTTGCCTGCATCTATGGTAAGCATCCTCAGAGGTAGTGAGGCAGGCGAAACGTCAGGAGAGAATGCCTCTAGAATATGGCCATATAGCTCGAAAAAACCTACAACACATTAAATTAATTATTATTACTAATAAATTATTATTATTATCATAATTAAATTATTTATTCATTTATTTATCGTGTCATCAGCAACCATACCATTGTGTTACAATTCTAACAGAACAAAAACACACAGATTAAAAAGAAAAAAAACACACAGATTAAATTATTATTATTATTAAATAAATTATTCTCATTAAATAATAATAATAATAATAATAATAATAATAATAACCTCCACTAAATGGCTACATAAATCAATGGCAAGATGCACCCATGAAATACTACATAAAATACCATACGAATGAGCTCTTGCACAGTTAAAAACCAAGTAAAATTCAATATGATTAAAACTTAAGCAAGAGACACATTGGATAGAAACAACCACACGAGGATTAGGTAAAAACATCCCCAGAACAGTCCGGAATTACATTATTGACTTTTTGAATCTCTTAATTTCTAGTCTTGGATTGGACGAGAGATTCTGGGGGGCGTTCAAAGGCTCACCGCAACCAAAGAACCGAACATCTCCCGACATTGAGCGCGAGAGCCCTACCTTGGCCTGGGCCAGGTCTTTCTGGGGCGAGGAGGAGATGGAGTTGGGGTACCGCCGGGTCTGGGTGGATCTCTGCTCGTAGAGGGGTCCCTGAGCGCTGTTCTGGGAGGTATACGTGGCCACGGAGGGCAGGGCGCCGCTCGGGTACCCCGACTCCGGGCCCTTCGTGGGCGCCATCGAGGACAAGGACTCGCTGCGGAAAGAGAGCAAGGGGCTCACCCAGGGACTCCCGCTGCCAGGTTCTAGCTTCCCTGCAGCCCAGAAAGGAGCACTTCTGGCAGAAGGCGACCCAGCGTTCCCCTCAAAGGTTCCCCTCAAAGGTTCCCCGCAAAGGCCTACCTGGCGCTGCTCGTGTAGAGGCTCCCTGGGGCCTGGCTGCCGGACCCGCTGGAGGCGGGCGCCGGTTCGTACTCCGGGAGGACGGGCTCCGAGCCGAACTGCAAGGCCCCGAACTGCAGGTTGAGCCCCGAAATGTCCGCGGAGCCAGGCATCTCCACAGCCAGAGCAGGGATCTGCGCGGGGAGAGAGGAGCCCATTGAGTCTGGAGCAGGAGCAGAGCAAGGCCAGGGCACCGCGCACTCTCGCTCTCACGCCATTCAGCCACATTCAGCCCCCAACAACCACCCAACTCAGGAAGATCAGGCATGAGCAAACTTGGGCCCTCCATGTGTTTGGGACTTCAACTAGAGCAAAATGTGCTTCGGGATCTCCCTGTCAGACTGTAGGATCTATATAGCAATATTAAATATCCACTCACAAGCCGGCTTGCTTTGAAATGGATATATTGTTTGTATCTCTGCAGCAAAGAAAGACACTACGGACTTTTTCCCACCACCACTTCCTTTTATACCCCTTTCCTGCCCATTTCCCCCTCTTCTCAGTTTCCTTATTAATTCTGAGCCGAACTGCAAGGCCCCGAACTGCAGGTTGAGCCCCGAAATGTCCGCGGAGCCAGGCATCTCCACGGCCAGAGCAGGGATCTGCGCGGGGACAGAGGAGCCCATTGAGTCCGGAGCAGGAGCAGAGCAAGGCCAGGGCACCGCACACACTCGCTCTCACGCCATTCAGCCACATTCAGCCCCCAACAACCCCCCAACTCAGGAAGATCAGGCATGGTAAACATGGGCCCTTCGTGTGTTTGGGACTTCAACTTGAGCAAAATGTGCTTTGGGATCTCCCTGTCAGACTGTAGGATCTAAATATTAAATAACCACTCACAAGCCGGCTTGATTTGAAATGGATATATTGCTTGTATCTCTGCAGCCAAGGAAGACACTACTGACTTTTTCCCAACACCACTTCCTTGTATACACCTTTCCTGCCCATCTCCCCCTCTTTTCAGTTTCCTTATTAGGACTTGTTGCTTCACAAGTTCCATAACATGGTTTCCAGCATCCTCTGCTGGCTTCAGAATGTCAGAGAGAATTAATTCCGAGCCGAACTGCAAGGCCCCAAACTGCAGGTTGAGCCCCGAAATGTCTGCGGAGCCAGGCATCTCCACGGCCAGAACAGGGATCTGCGCGGGGACAGAGGAGCCCATTGAGTCCGGAGCAGGAGCAGAGCAAGGCCAGGGCGCTGTGCTCTCTCGCTCTCACTAACAGATGCCACTCAGCCACATTCAGCCCCCAACAACACCCCAACTCAGGAAGATCAGGCATGAGCAAACTTGGGCCCTCCGTGTGTTTGGGACTTCCACTAGAGCAAAATGTGCTTCGGGGTTTCCCTGTCAGACTGTAGGATCTATATAGCAATATTAAATATCCACTCACAAGCTGGTTCTGCTTTGAAATGGAAATATTGCTTGCAGCCAAGGAAGACACTACTTTTTCCCCCCACCACTTCCTTGTATACACCTTTCCTGCCCATCTCCCCCTCTTCTCAGTTTCCTTATTAGAACTTGTTGCTTCACAAGTTCCATAACATGGTTTCCAGCGTCCTCTGCTGGCTTCAAAATGTCACAGAGAGAATTAATTCAGTCAGGATGATTCAGTCAGGAGGTCACAGAGGGAATTTGTGATGTCTTCATGCCATCAGAAATTGACCCCTGACAGTCCCACAACAACGTTTTGGCAGTGTCATAGACATCCTCATTTTTTTAAATAATAGAACCAATTAGAAAATGACATTTACAATCCAGGCACGAAAACCGTGTTACATAGTGCTATAGGATGGATAAATAGGGTAGGAAAGCGAGGGAGGGGAGGTAGAAAGGATAGGACAGGAAGGTATATAGGTAATTACGTGGGCATGGGCAATCCATGCCTACGTAATTACCTATATACCTTCCTGTCCTATCCTGTTTTTAGTACTTACAAAACTAAAGTTCTGGTGGTGAAAACTAGGGGGCGCTGGTGCTTTGCTTCTACAATGTTGCTGAAGTTCTGGTGGTGAAAATTTCAGAACTCTAACAAAACTTCCAAAATTTCATTATAAATGGCAGTTCCTAATTGGTTGTCATAAAATAATCAATAATGAAATAATAATGAAAGTTCTGGTGGTGAAAATTTCAGAACTCTAACAAAACTTTCAGAATTTCATTATAAATGGCAGTTCCCAATTGGTTGTGTCATAAAAATAATCAATAATGAAATGATAATGAAAGTTCTGGTGGTGAAAATTTCAGAACTCTTAACAAAACTTTCAAAATTGCATTATAAATGGCAGTTCCTAATTGATTCTGTTATAAATATCATCAATAATGAAATAATAATGAAAGTTCTGGTGGTGAAAATTTCGAAACGCTAACAAAACTTTCAAAATTTCATCATAAATGGCAGTTCCTAATTGGTTCTGTGATAAAAATCATCAATAATGAAATAATAACGAATTTTTGAAACTTTTGTTAGAGTTCTGAAATTTTCACCACCAGAACTTCAGCAACACTGTAGAAGCAAAGCACCAGCGCCCCCTAGTGTTCACCACCAGAACGTTAGTTTTGTAAGTGCTTTAGAACCATCTAGAAGCACGGGTTGCCCATGCCTACGTGGTTACCTTGGAGGTGAGGGAGGCCTTCTTCTTCTGCTGCTTGAGCTTCTGCTGGGCGGGCTGGGGGCTGGAGGACTGGTTGTCCGAGGATCCCGGGGACATCTGGGGGGCCGGCGGGGGGGCCTTTCCGGCCAGCGGGGAGCAGGAGGGGGGCGGGGGGCCCGAGGAGGAGGAGGAGGAGGAGGCGTGCCCCGCGGGAGGCTTGTCCTGCAGGAAGGCGTCCATCATGGCCGAGGAGGAGGAGGAGGAGGAGGAGGGGAAGGCCTGCCGCTTGCCGAAGGGGCCGTGCGTCACGGGCTCCGAGGGGCTCTTCAGGTCTGGGGCCGGAAAGAAAGCAGGGCAAGCGCATGACGAGGGCCCTCCACCCCAAAGAATATCGGATGCTACCCCTGGAAGGGACACCCAAGAGCCATCTGGTCCAACCCCCGTTCCACCCTGCAGGAAAAGCACAATCAAAGCCCTCCCAACAAGATGGCCACCCAGCCATGTGTATATTGTATATAAACAATATACACAAAATGTAAGAGATGGTGTTTTGGGCCAGGAACGAGGCGTGTCTGAGCCCTGCCGAGCACCGGTCAGCCACTAATTCGAGCGGCCAGTGTTGCCGACACTCCCATGGGTTGCTGTGGCATACGCTGTCCCCCCTTGGTGGCTATGGGGCAGCCAGGAAGGGTCTACTGGTATGCGGGCGGGGGGGGGGCGGGGGGAAGGAAACGCACCATGCATCGGGTGGAGCAAGTGACTCTCTTTCAAGCCAAGGCATCTTCACAACCTTTGAAAATCTTAGTCGTAAATCCAAGCAGTAAACTGTGCTGCCAGTTAATGATACTACTACTACTAATAATAATAATACTTATACTACTACTACTAATAATAATGATGACAATAATACTCATACTACTACTTTTAATAATAGTATGAATAATAACTCATAGTACTACTACTAATAATAAAGATAATAATAATACTCATACTACTACTAATAATAATGATAATACTCATATTGCTAATTATAATAATAACACTCATACTACTACTAATAATAATACTCATACTACTACTAATAATAATGATAATAATACTCATACTGCTACTAATTATAATAATGATAATACTCATACTACTACTAATAATAATACTCATACTACTAATAATAATAATGATAATAATACTCATACTGCTACTAATTATAATAATGATAATACTCATACCACTACTAATAATAATACTCATACTACTAATAATAATGATAATAATAATACTCATACTGCTACTAATTATAATAATGATTAGTACTAATAATAATACTCATACTACTACTAATAATAATGATAATAATACTCATACTACTACTAATAATAATGATAATAATAATACCATATTGCTACTAATTATAATAATGATAATACTCATACTACTAATAATAATGATAATAATACTCATACTGCTACTACTACTAATAATAATACACATACTACTAATAATAATGATAATACTCATACTACTACTGCTAATAACGATAATAATAATACTCATCCTACTACTACTACTACTACTAATAATAATAATAGTAATGATAATAATACTCATCCTGCTACTAATAATAATGATAATAATAATACTCATATTACTACTACTACTAATAATAATGACAATACTCATACTACTACTAATAATAATAATACTCATACTACTACTAATAATAATAATACTCATACTACTACTACTAATAATAATAATAATGATAATAATAATAGTACTCATACTACTACTACTATTAATAATGATAACAATAATACGCATACTACTACTACTACTAATAGTAATAATGCCGATGATGGAGTCTCCTTCTCTAGATGCTTTTAAGCAGAAGCTGGATGGCCACCTGCTGGGAGGGCTTTGATTGTGCTTTCCTGGGAGGAAGGGGTAGGGCTGGGTGTCCCCTGGGGAGCCCTCCCGTCCTTCTGCTTCTATGTTGGCGAACCTTACCGTACTGGACGAGAGAGGAGGCCTGGCTGGAGGCGCCGATCTCCCAGGTGGTCCCTGTGCCGCCGCCACCACCTCCGCTGCTCCCGGCGGGCTGCGGGTGCTGAGCGGCCAGCTGGGCCAAGGCCTGGGCCGTCTTGAACTGCTCCAGGAACTGGGAGCCTGTGGTCGTGGTGGTGGCAGCACTACCTCCGCCGGTGCCGCCGGCCTTGGCCTCGCCAACGTCGCCAAAGCCCTTCCCCAGCATGCTGACCTGGAAGAGGACGAGGAGGAGGACCGTCAAGATGACCACTTGGTGGGAATCTAATGCACACTTCAGTTTTGGAGAGGCAATTCAGCCCCAAAAGATGAGCATTTGATCCGGGTTCTGGTGGTGAAAATTTCAGAACTCTGACAAAACTTTCAAAATTTCATTATAAATGGCAGGTCTTAATTGGTTCTGTCCTAAAAATCACCAATAACGAAATAATAATGAAATTTTGAAAGTCTGGCTTCTTACTGCCTTTGTTGGGATGTGATTAGCTGGTCCTGATTGTTTCCTGTCTGGAGTTCCTCTGTTTTTTGAGTGTTGTTCTTTATGTACTGTTATGATTTTTAGAGGGTTTTTTAAAATACTGGTAGCATAACAATAAATCGTAATATTGTAAATAAAGAGCAACACTCACTCAGAAAACAAGGGAATTCCAGACAAGAAACAATCAGGGCCAGCTAATCACCTTTTCATTTCAGAACGCTAACAAAACTTTCAAAATTGAGGTGATTAGCTGGTCCTGACTGTTTCTTGTCTGGAGTTCCCGTTTTTTGAGTGTTATTCTTTATGTACTGTTATGATTTTAGAGATTTTTTAATACTGGTAGCATAACAATAAATCCTAACAGTAAATAAAGAGCAACACTCACTCAGAAAATGGGGGAATTCCAGACAAGAAACAATCAGGGCCAGCTAATCACCTTTTCATTTCAGAACGCTAACAAAACTTTCAAAATTTCGTTATAAAATGGCAGTTCTTAATTGGTTCTGTCCTAAAAATTACTAATAACAAAATAATTAAATTTTGAAAGTTTTGTTAGAGTTCTGAAATTTTCACCACCAGAACTTTAGCAACACTTTAGAAGAAAACGCACCAGAGCCATCTAGTATTGTAAGGGCTTTAGAACCATTTAGAACCATGGATTGCCCATGCCTCTTGGTCGTATGCGCTTCCTTCCTTCCCGGCTTGCTTACCATGCCGTGGTGGGCGAAGGCGGCGCCGGATCCGGGCTGGGCGATGGCGCTCTGCTTGGAGTTGCTGAAGACCAGGGGCTGGCTGAGGGCCGGGGCCTGCGAGGAGGAGGAGGAGGAGTCCAGGTTGGGCGACTCGGTCTCCAGGGAAGACGACGGGCTCTTGCCCAGCAGCACCGCCAGGTCGATCCTGGAGGGAAGAGCAGCCCCCGCGTCAGCAAGGCCCCCTCGCCCAGCTTGCGTGTCGATATGTATTGCCAGAGTTATAGTTATTGAAGACTGAAGCCATTTGGAGTGCCAAGGAAGACTGCTTATTTAGTCGAACGTCCTCATCTTGCTGGAAATAAACAGTTTTCCTTGGCACTCCAAAGAGCCAACTCATTATAGAGCAGTTGGCTGTTGCTGGGAAAGGTTACGCAGCGCCCTGAAGCTCAAGACTGAAGTCATTTGAAGACTGCTGATTTAATAGAATGTCCTCATCTTGCTGGAAATAATCAGTTTTCCTTGGCACTTCAAACAGCCAACTTATTATCAAGCAGTTGGCTGTTGCTAGGAGAGGTTACGCAGCGCCCTGAAGCTCAAGACTGGATCCCTTTGGAGTGCCAAGGAAGACTGCTTATTTAGTCGGATGTTCTTATCTTGCTGGAAATAAACAGTTTTCCTTGGCACTTCAAACAGCCAACTTATTATCAAGCAGTTGGCTGTTGCTGGGAGAGGTTACGCAGCGCCCTGAAGCTAAAGACTGGATCCCTTTGGAGTGTCAAGGAAGACTGCTTTATTTAGTCGAATGTCCTCATCTTGCTGGAAATAAACAGTTTTCCTTGGCAGTCCAAACAACCAACTCATTATTAAGCAGTCGGCTGTTGCTGGGAGCGGTTACGCAGCGCCCTGAAGCTCAAGACTGAATCCCTTTGGAGTGCCAAGGAAGACTGCTTATTTAGTCGAATGTCCTTATCTTGCTGGAAATAAACAGTTTTCCTTGGCACTCCAAACAGCCAACTCATTATTAAGAATTGGCTGTTGCTGGGAGAGGTTATGCAGCGCCCAGAAGCTAAAGAATGAAGCCGTTTGGAGTGCCAAGGAAGACTGCTTTTTTAGTAGAATGTCCTTATCTTGTTGTAAATAAGCAGTTTTCCTTGGAACTCCAAACAGCCAAGTCATTATCAAGCAGTTGGCTGTTGCTGGGAAAGGTTATGCAGCGCCCTGAAGCTCAAAACTGAATTTGGAGTGCCAAGAAAGACTGCTTATTTACAGCAAGATAAGGACATTTTACTGATAGCAAATGTTTCAGTGTGTTGTGACTCAGCTTGACTCTGAATCTGAGCTCTGTGAGCCAGAATTCCTACAGGATGATGAGGGAAATGATGGGTTACAGATTTCTGTACATGTTTCAGACAGGCCTGACGGTGAGGCTACTGAAGGGGAAACAGCAAGTCAGTTCTCAGGGGAAAAGAATGTTAGTGAGGCTGATAACGAGAGTGAATTCCCACATGGCCAGGTGGAGACGTCTATGCCTTCCCACAGTGATCCGGTCCAGCTGGACCAAGATAAGGGGTTACATAGCCTTGAAGATAATGAATTAATGAGCAGGCAAGATCGTCTGCAATTAAGGCTCTGGAGAAGCTCTCGCTTGGCCAGCAAGCGAGAAGCCAAGGAGGCCAAGGGTCAACGCAATGTGTTCATGTCTGCAAAGGGTATTTAGCCTTGTAGCTGTCAAGCAGGGGCTGTCAGTCCAATGTAGCTCTTCTCATGCAAACCTCTGTGGATTAACCTTGGCTTTTAGCAGCACGCTTCTGGCTTCCTGAGTTTGGGATTTGGGCCTTGTTTTCAACTGTTTTCCATGGACTCTTGTTTGATCATTGCTAAAGGATTGTGCTTCATGTTTTTGCCTCTGGATCTTGGGGACTGTGTCTTTACATTTAACCCTTTGAACTCCCTATGGATTTTATGCATTTAATATACTCTGTTTTGATTTTGCCTTTTTCTCAATAAACTACAAAACCTACAGCTTTGGTGTGGTGGTGTCTGGAGGAAGGTGAAAACTACCCTGAGTTGCAACACAGTCTCTCTATTTTGTTATGTTTGTGCATGTTGTCATTTTAAAAACTCACTGAACTACAGTGAATTGAACTATATTTTCTTCGCCACTTAAAGCAACAGACTCATGTGTAATTTTTTTTTAGTTTTTAATCACACTAATAGTAAAAGGGGCCGAGATATTCTGCGGTCTGCTAACACTATCCTGACATATCCTGAAAATATTTATATGATTATATACGTTAAAACGAGTTAAGCAACTGGAATGCGAAGAGCGTGCACCGATCACAGAGGAAGCGAGACTACATGTCACAACCGCAGAGCTGGGTTTGAATCAATCAGGTGATAAGAAACAATATATATGTCAACGGTCACCATTACTCTTTCTCCTTCGACAATGACCAGTAATGTGTAAGTTCAATTCAATTGTAAATAGCTGAAGTGTAAATAAAGATAAAAGTCACTCAGGTGGAGCAGAAATCTTATTTGTATAAGCATTAGCACTTGGGCCAGCTAATTAATGGTTATGGGCCCAGTACTTAAGGAAAGGGCCAAACTCCCAGCCCCAAAAGCACCACTGAAAAGGCACAACTCTCATGCTAATGCTCACCTCTGTCCGGCCGTGATGGTCACATTTTCCGCAGGAAGCGGCACGGCGGAGACATTGGACGCCGTGAAGATCTTGGTCTCCGAAAGCTGGGAAGAGAGGAGAGTGGAAAGGAGAATCAGTTTATTATATATATAATATATAATATTAGTTTATATTAGTCTCTCTATATATAAGATTATATATCAATATCAACCTCAGCCTGCTATATATACTATACTGTATAGACTATATGCAGTATATACTATTCATATCAACCTTAGCCTATTATATATATATATACATTATATATATAATATATATATTAGTTTATATTAGTCTCTATAGATATTAGATTATATATCAATATCAACCTCAGCCTGCTATATATACTATATAGACTATATACAGTATATGCTATTCATATCAACCATAGTCTATATTATATATATATATATATATATATATATATATATATATATAATAGTTTATGATATATAATATATATATATTAGTTTATATTAGTCTATATATATTAGATTATATATCAATATCAACCTGCTATATATACTATACTATACTATATAGACTATATACAGTATATACTATTTATACCAACATTATATATATTAGTCTCTCTATATATTAGATTATATATCAATATCAACCTCAGCCTGCTATATATACTATATAGACTATATACAGTATATACTATTCATATCAACCTTAGCCTATTATATATATATTTATATGTAATATATATATATATATATATTAGTCTATGTATATATTAGATTATTATTATTATTATTATTATTATTATTATTATTATTATTATTATTATTATATACACATACTATATATACTATATATAGCAACCTTAGCCTACTGTATATAAGTAACCTTAAACTACTATATATATTCTGTCATATAAATAGAGGAGAGTTTATAAAACTCAGAGACTGCCTGCGCCTAAGTCTGGCTAGAGGACCGAAGCCCTGTTGTGTGTCATTCTGCCCAGGGTCATGGGGTCAAAGGGGGTGGGACCTGGCTGGAGTAGGGAAGGGGTGCTTACGTCTTCGTTCCAGTCCTCGGTGCCCCACTCCTCGGTGGCCGTCCTCCAGGCGCCTGCAAAAGGAGCCGGGAGAGAGGCAGGGTCAGCGGCGAGGGAGTCCCCCCGGAAACCCCGGGAAAAGCAGCAGCGGGAGGGTTGGCGGGAGCACGGCAAGCAGCAAAGCAGCGGGAGCCCCGCGCCCAGACAAACACAAGCGGGGGCCGAGGGAGGAGCGGAGGGAGGAACATGGGAGCACCACACGCAAGACGCCCCACACAGAGACCCACGGAAGCACCCCCGGAAGGCTGGACTTGCCCCCACGGAGTGTATGGGAGAGGGATCTCATTCCTGGCCTCAAACTCTCTTCACCTTTCAGGTTTCAAACATGTAAATAGTCACAGGGGTCCACTATTACCATTGATTATCATTATTATGTATTGTCAAAGGCTTTCATGGCCGGAATCACCGGGTTGCAGTGACTTCTCCGGTCTTTCTGGCCATGCTCCAGAAGCATTCTCTCCTGACGTTTCTGTCAGAAATACTAAAAATTAACTAGGTATTTTTAATTACAAAAATGCAAGTAAAGCACTGAAAGGGTTAAATGGAGGGAATGGCTCAGCAAAAGCTGCAGTGCTATATAAGCAGGTGTGCCTGTAGCTTCATAGCCCTTAGTCTGAGGTAAACCTCAGTGGGAGAAAGGCCTCACAGTGTGAGGTAGGCCTCAGTGAGAAGTTCAATAGACCTCTGTGTTAGTTTTCCTCAGTGGGAGAAAGGTCTCAGTCTGTGAGAAGGCCTCACAGTGTGAGATAGGCCTCAGTGAGAAGCTTAATAGGTCTCTGTCCTAGTCTGCCTCAGTGAGAGAAAGATCTCAATCTGTGAGAAGCCCTCACAGTGTGAGGTAGGCCTCAGTCTGTGAGGTAAGTCTCAGTATGAGAAGGTTGAACTTTATTAGTGTCATGGAAACCTTGTTCTTTTAAATAGTGCAACCATATAATTTTGATATAAAGAAAAGCCTCCTATGGAAGGGAAGTGAATTATGATCATGGTTAGTTATTAATAATCAAATCTATGTGGAAAAGCAAATCTGTTGTGGTTCAGCCAGAGGCTGAAAATGAGGGGATTGTTCAGTCAGAGGTTGTGAGAAACGATGGGCTTTCCAGTGTGGGAGATGAGGGGGATTTTGGGTCATTATTCTGTCTGGGAGGAGGGTCTGTGTCTGGGCAGAAATAAAGGGCTTCAGAGCAGGGAGGAGATGGAGATGCCTGGGCATTGGAAGAGAGGGAAGTCCTTTCTCCTGGTCGTTCCATGGCAACAGAAGACAAGGAACTGGAAGGGAAAGATTTTTCCCCTAGGAAAACACCCGAGGTCAGAAGGAGTCTGAGACTCGATCTCCAGGAGGAGGGAGTCAGATTAAGAAGATCGAAGAGACTTTGTGAGAAATCCTTGAAACAGGCCAAATGTCAAAGACATGACTTCATGGCTTGTGGGCCTTAAATCAGAGTGTTATTTGCTGAAAGGGTTAGAACAGGCAACACTGCGTTAAAGTGTACACCTTGGGTCTTGTTCCACGTTCAAGTCTATGTCTAAGATCTTTGGGAAAGTCTTGCGTTCATGTTCGTGGATTCATCTTTGGAAGAAGTTCCTGCGCTCCTGGTTATGGATTTATATGTGTACACTTTAACGCAGCGTTGCCTGTTCTAACCCTTTAGGTAAACAAACAACACTCTGATTTAAGGTCCACAAGCCTTTGACATCTGTCCTGTTTCAAGGAATTCTCATGGAGTCTCTGTGTAACTAATTAATTAATTTTTGTAATTAAAAATACCGAGTTAATTTTTAATTGAGAGTTTTCTGGACATTACTGCTTGGGATTTTCTGCAAGCTTTATGGGCATTGCTGTTTCATTTTGACTTTTTTTTACCTTTGGACTTCTATCTATTTTATATTCATCACTCAATAAAAAGGAATGCATTTTTCCTAAACCAAAGTGTGGTGTATTAACGACAAGAGCAGGCTCTGTTTCCAGCTCTAGAGTGCAACACTATCATACTTCTCCCTATTGCTTTTTGGACATTGCCTTTGGCTTTTTGATATTTGCTTTCTTCAATCAACTGCTTAGTTGGCACTACTGGGCTCTGGGGTGGTGCTGGGTGCCAAGGCGGCGTCAGGCCGGAGTGGAACGAGACCCTCCCCGAATGCTTCCAGCCTGCCCCCCCCCTCAAAGCAAGTGGGGAAAGGCGGGAGCCCGCATGAGTTCAAGCAAGAGGCCCATTCAGAGATGGAAAGAGAGATGGGGAGAGGGAAGGGACGAGACAATGACATATCCACAGATATATTCCGACTTATTCCAAAGCCAAATAAAGAGGAATCATAAATAGTAGGAAGAGAAGGAGATCCGGGGCAATTAAGTGCACCTGGATTTCTCGTACCAGGAGCAGTGTCAAATTTTCGGGGATAATTTGACCCCTCACCCCTAATGTAATCAACTCCTGAAACAAAACAGAATGGAAAAAGAGGGGGGAAAAAAGAAAAGGACAAAAATAAAACACAGTGAAATTCTATATACTTTAACAAGAAGGCGGGGCGCAGACAAGGCACCCCCTCCCCCGCCCCCTCCAGCGCCCCCCGCCTCCGCTTCCCCCTCCGTACCTGTGGATATTGTGGAAATTATAAAGAAAGGACTTGGACACACTACTCACTAAGAATGAGAATATGGAATGGGGTTCAATGTTGGGCGCGACGCGGGAGGCCCTTCCGCAGCACAACAGAACAAAGCGGGGGACGGGACGTTGCTCTCCGAGGGCCCCCAACGGGCAGGCAGGGACCTCCTTCCCATACGGAAGGCCCCATTCCCACCATCCCTGCACACTGGAAACGCCCAATAACACCCAGGGCCCCCAGTCTGTGTCCTGATGGAAAGGGGAGCGTTTGGATGGCCTCTGAGGGGGCCCCTCCCATCCCACAACGCCAGTGGTGGCCCCAGTGCCACTTACTCGTCCCGTCGTCCGGCTCAAAGCTCCCGGTGTTGTTCCACGTGTTGCTGTTGCTGTTCCCATAGCCCTCCTCTGTGTTTGCAGGCTCGGCGTAGTCTGCAGGATTGAAGGTCCTGCCGAGGCAAAAAGAGAGAAGAGACCCAATTTGAATCTATGACATTATTAATTAATTAATTATTATTATGATAAAGTAGCTGGGTGGCCGTCTGTGGGGAGGGATTGAGTAGTGCCTTTCTTCCTGACAGATGAGGGTTGGACTAGATGCCCTTTGGGGGGATTTTTTCCAACTCTATGGCATTATTCATTATTATTATTATTATATTATGAAGTAGCTGGGTGGCCATCTGTCGGGAGGGATTGAGTTGTGCCTTTCCTCCTGGCAGATGAGGGTTGGACTAGATGCCCTGGAGGGGGGGGTGTCTTCCCACTCTATGGCATTATTCATTATTATTATTATTATTATTATTATTATGAGGTAGCTGAGTGGTCATCTGTTGGGAGGGATTGAGTTGTGCCTTTCTTCCCTGGCAGAAGAGGGTTGGACTAGATGCCCTTTGGGGGGGGTGTTCCCTTCCAAATCTATGACATTATTAATTAATTATTCATTATTATGATGATGATAAAGTACCTGGGTGACCATCTGTGGGGAGGGATTGAGTTGTGCCTTTCTTCCCTGGCAGAAGAGGGTTGGACTAGATGCCCTTTGGGAGTGTTCCCTTCCAAACCTATGACATTATTAACTATTATTGTTGGGAGATTGCAAATAAAGTATTATTATTATTATTATTATTATTATTATTATTATTATATTATGTAGTAGCTGGGTGGCCATCTGTCAGGAGGGATTGAGTTGTGCCTTTCTTCCTGGCAGAAGAGGGTTGGACCCTTTGGTGGTGGTGGTGGGGGGGGTTCCCTTCCAAATCTATGGCATTATTCATCATCATCATTATTATTAGTATGATGCAGCAACTGTCTGGCCGTCTATTCATTATTATTATTATTATTATTATTATTATTATTATGCAGCAACTGGGTGGCCATCTGTCAGGAGGGATTGATTTGTGCCTTTCTTCCTGGCAGAAGAGGGTTGGACTAGATGCCCTTTGGGGGGTTCCCTTACAAATCTATAGCAATATTCATTATTATTATTATTATTATGCAGCAACTGGGTGGCCATCTGTCAGGAGGGATTGAGTTGTGCCTTTCTTCCTGGCAGAAGAGGGTTGGACTAGATGCCCTTTGGGGGGTTCCCTTACAAATCTATAGCAATATTCATTATTATTATTATTATTATGCAGCAACTGGGTGGCCATCTGTCAGGAGGGATTGAGTTGTGCCTTTCTTCCTGGCAGAAGAGGGTTGGACCCTTTGGTGGTGGTGGTGGGGGGGGTTCCCTTCCAAATCTATGGCATTATTCATCATCATCATTATTATTAGTATGATGCAGCAACTGTCTGGCCGTCTATTCATTATTATTATTATTATTATTATTATTATTATTATGCAGCAACTGGGTGGCCATCTGTCAGGAGGGATTGATTTGTGCCTTTCTTCCTGGCAGAAGAGGGTTGGACTAGATGCCCTTTGGGGGGTTCCCTTACAAATCTATAGCAATATTCATTATTATTATTATTATTATGCAGCAACTGGGTGGCCATCTGTCAGGAGGGATTGAGTTGTGCCTTTCTTCCTGGCAGAAGAGGGTTGGACTAGATGCCCTTTGGGGGGTTCCCTTACAAATCTATAGCAATATTCATTATTATTATTATTATTATGCAGCAACTGGGTGGCCATCTGTCAGGAGGGATTGAGTTGTGCCTTTCTTCCTGGCAGAAGAGGGTTGGACCCTTTGGTGGTGGTGGTGGGGGGGGTTCCCTTCCAAATCTATGGCATTATTCATCATCATCATTATTATTAGTATGATGCAGCAACTGTCTGGCCGTCTATTCATTATTATTATTATTATTATTATTATTATGCAGCAAGTGGGTGTCCATCTGTCAGGAGGGATTGAGTTGTGCCTTTCTTCCTGGCAGATGAGGGTTGGACTAGATGCCCTGGAGGGGGGGGTGTCTTCCCACTCTATGGCATTATTCATTATTATTATTATTATTATTATTATTATGAGGTAGCTGAGTGGTCATCTGTTGGGAGGGATTGAGTTGTGCCTTTCTTCCCTGGCAGAAGAGGGTTGGACTAGATGCCCTTTGGGGGGGGTGTTCCCTTCCAAATCTATGACATTATTAATTAATTATTCATTATTATGCAGCAAGTGGGTGTCCATCTGTCAGGAGAGATTGAGTTGTGCCTTTCTTCCTGGCAGAAGAGGGTTGGACTAGATGCCCTTTGGGGGGTTCCCTTACAAATCTATAGCAATATTCATTATTATTATTATTATTATATTATGCAGCAAGTGGGTGTCCATCTGTCAGGAGAGATTGAGTTGTGCCTTTCTTCCTGGCAGAAGAGGGTTGGACTAGATGCCCTTTGGGGGGTTCCCTTACAAATCTATAGCAATATTCATTATTATTATTATTATTATGCAGCAACTGGGTGGCCATCTGTCAGGAGGGATTGAGTTGTGCCTTTCTTCCTGGCAGAAGAGGGTTGGACCCTTTGGTGGTGGTGGTGGGGGGGGTTCCCTTCCAAATCTATGGCATTATTCATCATCATCATTATTATTAGTATGATGCAGCAACTGTCTGGCCGTCTATTCATTATTATTATTATTATTATTATTATTATGCAGCAACTGGGTGGCCATCTGTCAGGAGGGATTGAGTTGTGCCTTTCTTCCTGGCAGAAGAGGGTTGGACCCTTTGGTGGTGGTGGTGGGGGGGGTTCCCTTCCAAATCTATGGCATTATTCATCATCATCATTATTATTAGTATGATGCAGCAACTGTCTGGCCGTCTATTCATTATTATTATTATTATTATTATTATTATTATTATGCAGCAACTGGGTGGCCATCTGTCAGGAGGGATTGAGTTGTGCCTTTCTTCCTGGCAGAAGAGGGTTGGACCCTTTGGTGGTGGTGGTGGGGGGGGTTCCCTTCCAAATCTATGGCATTATTCATCATCATCATTATTATTAGTATGATGCAGCAACTGTCTGGCCGTCTATTCATTATTATTATTATTATTATTATTATTATTATGCAGCAAGTGGGTGTCCATCTGTCAGGAGGGATTGAGTTGTGCCTTTCTTCCTGGCAGAAGAGGGTTGGACTAGATGCCCTTTGGGGGGTTCCCTTACAAATCTATAGCAATATTCATTATTATTATTATTATTATTATTATGCAGCAACTGGGTGGCCATCTGTCAGGAGGGATTGATTTGTGCCTTTCTTCCTGGCAGAAGAGGGTTGGACTAGATGCCCTTTGGGGGGTTCCCTTACAAATCTATAGCAATATTCATTATTATTATTATTATTATTATTATGCAGCAACTGGGTGGCCATCTGTCAGGAGGGATTGAGTTGTGCCTTTCTTCCTGGCAGAAGAGGGTTGGACCCTTTGGTGGGGGGTTCCCTTACAAATCTATAGCAATATTCATTATTATTATTATTATTATGCAGCAAGTGGGTGTCCATCTGTCAGGAGAGATTGAGTTGTGCCTTTCTTCCTGGCAGAAGAGGGTTGGACTAGATGCCCTTTGGGGGGTTCCCTTACAAATCTATAGCAATATTCATTATTATTATTATTATTATGCAGCAACTGGGTGGCCATCTGTCAGGAGGGATTGAGTTGTGCCTTTCTTCCTGGCAGAAGAGGGTTGGACTAGATGCCCTTTGGGGGGTTCCCTTACAAATCTATAGCAATATTCATTATTATTATTATTATTATATTATGCAGCAACTGGGTGTCCATCTGTCAGGAGGGATTGAGTTGTGCCTTTCTTCCTGGCAGAAGAGGGTTGGACTAGATGCCCTTTGGGGGGTTCCCTTACAAATCTATAGCAATATTCATTATTATTATTATTATTATATTATGCAGCAACTGGGTGGCCATCTGTCAGGAGGGATTGAGTTGTGCCTTTCTTCCTGGCAGAAGAGGGTTGGACCCTTTGGTGGTGGTGGTGGGGGGGGTTCCCTTCCAAATCTATGGCATTATTCATCATCATCATTATTATTAGTATGATGCAGCAACTGTCTGGCCGTCTATTCATTATTATTATTATTATTATTATTATTATTATTATTATGCAGCAACTGGGTGGCCATCTGTCAGGAGGGATTGAGTTGTGCCTTTCTTCCTGGCAGAAGAGGGTTGGACCCTTTGGTGGTGGTGGTGGGGGGGGTTCCCTTCCAAATCTATGGCATTATTCATCATCATCATTATTATTAGTATGATGCAGCAACTGTCTGGCCGTCTATTCATTATTATTATTATTATTATTATTATTATTATGCAGCAAGTGGGTGTCCATCTGTCAGGAGGGATTGAGTTGTGCCTTTCTTCCTGGCAGAAGAGGGTTGGACTAGATGCCCTTTGGGGGGTTCCCTTACAAATCTATAGCAATATTCATTATTATTATTATTATTATTATTATTATTATGCAGCAACTGGGTGGCCATCTGTCAGGAGGGATTGATTTGTGCCTTTCTTCCTGGCAGAAGAGGGTTGGACTAGATGCCCTTTGGGGGGTTCCCTTACAAATCTATAGCAATATTCATTATTATTATTATTATTATTATTATGCAGCAACTGGGTGGCCATCTGTCAGGAGGGATTGATTTGTGCCTTTCTTCCTGGCAGAAGAGGGTTGGACTAGATGCCCTTTGGGGGGTTCCCTTACAAATCTATAGCAATATTCATTATTATTATTATTATTATTATTATGCAGCAACTGGGTGGCCATCTGTCAGGAGGGATTGAGTTGTGCCTTTCTTCCTGGCAGAAGACGGTTGGACTAGATGCCCTTTGGGGGGTTCCCTTACAAATCTATAGCAATATTCATTATTATTATTATTATTATTATTATGCAGCAAGTGGGTGTCCATCTGTCAGGAGGGATTGAGTTGTGCCTTTCTTCCTGGCAGAAGAGGGTTGGACTAGATGCCCTTTGGGGGGTTCCCTTACAAATCTATAGCAATATTCATTATTATTATTATTATTATTATTATTATTATTATGCAGCAAGTGGGTGTCCATCTGTCAGGAGGGATTGAGTTGTGCCTTTCTTCCTGGCAGAAGAGGGTTGGACTAGATGCCCTTTGGGGGGTTCCCTTACAAATCTATAGCAATATTCATTATTATTATTATTATTATTATTATTATGCAGCAAGTGGGTGTCCATCTGTCAGGAGAGATTGAGTTGTGCCTTTCTTCCTGGCAGAAGAGGGTTGGACTAGATGCCCTTTGGGGGGTTCCCTTACAAATCTATAGCAATATTCATTATTATTATTATTATTATTATTATGCAGCAACTGGGTGGCCATCTGTCAGGAGGGATTGATTTGTGCCTTTCTTCCTGGCAGAAGAGGGTTGGACTAGATGCCCTTTGGGGGGTTCCCTTACAAATCTATAGCAATATTCATTATTATTATTATTATTATTATTATGCAGCAAGTGGGTGTCCATCTGTCAGGAGGGATTGAGTTGTGCCTTTCTTCCTGGCAGAAGAGGGTTGGACTAGATGCCCTTTGGGGGGTTCCCTTACAAATCTATAGCAATATTCATTATTATTATTATTATTATTATTATGCAGCAAGTGGGTGTCCATCTGTCAGGAGGGATTGAGTTGTGCCTTTCTTCCTGGCAGAAGAGGGTTGGACTAGATGCCCTTTGGGGGGTTCCCTTACAAATCTATAGCAATATTCATTATTATTATTATTATTATGCAGCAACTGGGTGGCCATCTGTCAGGAGGGATTGAGTTGTGCCTTTCTTCCTGGCAGAAGAGGGTTGGACTAGATGCCCTTTGGGGGGTTCCCTTACAAATCTATAGCAATATTCATTATTATTATTATTATTATTATTATGCAGCAACTGGGTGGCCATCTGTCAGGAGGGATTGAGTTGTGCCTTTCTTCCTGGCAGAAGAGGGTTGGACTAGATGCCCTTTGGGGGGTTCCCTTACAAATCTATAGCAATATTCATTATTATTATTATTATTATTATTATGCAGCAACTGGGTGGCCATCTGTCAGGAGGGATTGAGTTGTGCCTTTCTTCCTGGCAGAAGAGGGTTGGACTAGATGCCCTTTGGGGGGTTCCCTTACAAATCTATAGCAATATTCATTATTATTATTATTATTATTATTATTATTATTATGCAGCAAGTGGGTGTCCATCTGTCAGGAGAGATTGAGTTGTGCCTTTCTTCCTGGCAGATGAAGGTTGGACTAGATGCCCTTTGGGGGGATTTTTCCAACTCTATGGCATTACTCATTATTATCATCATCATCATCATCATTATTATTATACATGAAAAGAAGGCCTCCTTTTAGAGGTTTGCCTGGATGGAGATAATAATAATGATAATAATAATAATAATAATAATAATAATTGATTTATACTCCGCCACCATCTCCCCCAATGGGACTCGGAGCGGCTTATATGGGGCCACCCCCGCACAACAAATTACAATACAAAAATACAAATTGCAATAAAATAAACAACTTAACAATAAGGTATAAAACATCAAAGCATAGAAGCAATATACACAAGGCATGAGCGATGATGGTGTTTTGGGCCAGGGCAGAGGCTTGTCTGGGATTTGCGGAGCACCGGTCAGCCACAAAGCCGAGCGGCCGGTGTTGCCGACACTCCCGTGGGTTGCTTGCTGTGGCATACGCTGTCCCCCCTTGGTGGCCATGGGGCAGCCAGGAAGGGTCTACTGGTATGCGGGGGGCGGGGGCGGGGAGGAAACGCACCACACATCGCTTTTCTGAACCACGTTTGCACAGCTCCCCAGTTCTCTCCGCAGTGAGCCAACAAGAGACAATGGGATTTGTAGTCCACCTAGCCTGCTCATTCCTCTCATTCTGAGAGAAAACATTCCCAGCCTGCAGTGCTTTCAACCCCATTGTTTCGTCCAGACCAGCCAACTTGGATCCTCCAATGTTTCCCAATATTGCAGTATAGTGGTCTAGTACAATATAACGATATATAATACTAAACTAATATTGTGCTAATAATTGTAATACATCGTATTCACATATAATATTGATCATAATACAGGGTTAGTCAAAATGAATAGGCCAATAATGAATAATGAATAATGAATATTGGCCTATTCATTTTGACTAACCCTGTATTGTAATACAATATAATACAAATAATAATGTACTGTATTTATTTATTTGGAGCAAATAATAATACAATATAATTACATATTTATATTACATGTAATATTACTAATATTGCAGTGTATGACATAGTACAATATAGTCATATATAATACTAATATTGTGCTGTTATTACTGTAATATATAATATTACAATATATTTCATATATAACATTCTAATATATTATTATAATACATATGATATTATTATAATATATAATATATTATTATAGTATATAATATCATAATATCATAATATATAATATTATAATTATAATATATTGTATGTACATTTAATATTGATCATAATCTTGTAATACAATATAATAATAATAATAATACACTTTATTTTCATATTACATATACTATATTACTAATAACATTGCAGTCTATGGCATAGTACAATATAGCAATATATAATATTAATATTGTGCTATGCTAATAATTATAATATATTATTATATATTATATAATAATATAAAAATATATATATAAATATATATAAATATATATAAATATATATAATATATATAATATATATAAAAATATATATAAAAATATAATATTTATCATAATCTTGTAATACTATATATATATATATATATATATATATATATATATATATAGCGTAATATTACTAATAATATTGCAGTCTAGCAGTATGGTACAATATAGCAAAATATAATAATATTGTGCTATGCTAATAATTCTAATATATTGTATACACCTATACTGATCATAATATTATAATATAATACTATAATAATACAATATAATAATTACATATTTTATATTACATGTAATATTACTAATAATATTGCAGTCTAGTGGTATGGTACAATATAGCAAAATATAATATTAGTATATAATATACCTAGAAGATCTCATCATAGGCAGCCTCATAGGAGAAAAATGTAGTTGCTAGATCAACTGTAAAAAAATATGCCCCACTGACATTTCATAATACTAATATTGTGCTGTGCTAATAATTATAATATATTGTATGTACATAGAATACTGATCATAATATTGTAATGCAATATAATACCAATAATAATACAATATAATAATATAATAATTATATATTTTGTATTACATGTAATATTACTAATAATATTGCAGTATAGAGGTATAGTACAATATAGTAATATAATATAATATATTGAATGGGCATATAATATTGATCATAATCATGCAATACAATATAATACTAATAATACAATATAATAATTATTATATATTGCATGTAATATTACTAATATTACAGTATTGTGGTATAATACAATACAGAAAAATATAATACTAATATTGTGCTTTCTAATAATTCTAATATATTGCATACACATATATTGATCATAATATTGTAATATAATACTATAATAATACAATATAATAATTATATATATTATATTACATGTAATATTACTAATAATATTCCAGTCTAGTGGTATAGTACAATATAGTCATATATAATACTAATATTGTACTATGCTAATAATATAATATATTGTATGTACATATAATGTTGATCATAATATTGTAACACAATAGATTACTAATAATAACACAATATAATAATATGTTTTATATTTCATGTAATATTACTAATAACATTGCAAAATAGTCGTCTAGTACAATATAGTAATATGTGTTAATATTGTGGAATGCTAATAATTATAATATATTGTATGTACATATAATATTGATCATAATATTGTAATACAATCTAATAATAATACAATATATAATTATATATTTATATTACATGTAATATGACTAATAATATTGCATTACAGTGGTATAGTACAATATAGTAATATATAATAATATTGTGCTATGCTAATTCTAATATATTGCATACACATAATATTGATCATAATATTGTAATATAATACTATAATAATACAATATAATAATTATATATATTATATTACATGTAATATTACTAATAATATTGCAGTCTAGCGGTATGGTACAATATAGCAAAATATAATATCAGTATTGTGCTATTCTAATAATTCTAATATATTGTATGTACATATAACGTTGATCATAATATTGTAATACAATAGATTACTAATAATAATAAAATATAATAATATATTTTATTTTTCATGTAATATTACTAATAATATTGCAATACAATAGAATACTAATAATACAATATAATAATTATATATTTTGTATTACATGTGATATTACTAATAATACTACAGTCTAATGGTCTAGTACAATATAGTCATATATAATGTTAATATTGTGCTATGCTAATAATATAATACATTGTATGTACATATAACTTATAAGTCGCCCTGAGTTCTGTTTGGGGTGAGAAGGGTGGGATATAAATGTCATAAATCAATAAATAAACAAACTTCCTGCCAGTCAGGGAATCTGGGAACCCGGATTCAAAATACCCGGTGGACCAAAGACCAAAACAGCCCCAAAATCCTAAATCAGGGAAAGAAGGAACCCGGAGCGTGGAGCGGGCGTCTTACCCCATGCCTTGGGCCGAGAACCGTCCTCCCCGCCGTCCAGAGCCGCCTGCGGACACAGGAAGAGACCGGCGTGACATCGCAATTCTCCCCCAGGACCCAAATTGGGAATCTCTTTGCCCACCACTCGGTCCCTGTGCCGGCCACTGACCTCTGCCTCGTCCACGGCCGCGCCGCCCCCTCTCCGTGCCTCGCCCGGAGGATCCGCCCGTCTTGCCGCCGTCCAGCCCATTCTCCTGGCCCCGAACTGCAAAGGCACACACAAAAAGATGGCAACATGCGGCTTGACTGTTGCACCCAGCGACCCCAGGAACCCTCCCCGGTGCTGCCCTCTCTGGTGACACCTGCGGGGTATGAAATGCTCTCTTTGGGGAAAACAAACCACCACCGGAAGATGAGATAGCACTTCCTGAACGTAAGGAGAGCTGTTCAACAGTGGAACTCTCTGCCTCCGAGCCTGGGGGAAGCTTCTCCTTTGGAGGTCTTTAAGCAGAGGTCATGTGTTGGGATAGATTACATTGTGCTTTTCCAGCATGGCAGAAGGGGGTGAGACTGGATTCTATTCTGGCATTCTATTGTTGTTGTTATTGTTGTGTTTTTCCTGCCTGGCAGAAAAGGGGTCTCTTGGGGTCTCTTCCAACTCTATCACTCTATACTACTACTAATAGTATTTTTTTTTGTCGTGCTAGGAGTGACTTGAGTTGCTGCAAGTTGCTCCTGTTGTGAGAGAATTGGACGTCTGCAAGGACGTTGCCCAGGGGACATTGCCTGGATGATTTGATGTTTTATCATCCTTGTGGGAAGCTTCTCTCATGTCCCCTTTGCATGAGGAGCTGGATCTGATAGAGGGAGCTCACCCGCCTCTCCCCGGATTCGAACCTGCGACCTGTCGGTCTTCAGTCCTGCCAGCACAGGGCGGGTTTAACCCACTGCGCCACCGGGGGCTCCACTAATAGTAATAATAGATCATCTATAATAATAGATGAGAATGATAGCATCCCCTTCCCTGGAAGTTTCTAAGCCGAGGCTGGATGGTCATCTGCCGGGAGGGATTCAGTGGTGCTTTTCCTGCCTGGATAGCTCTTGGGGTCTCTTTCTATTATTATTATTTGATGCATAACAAAGTTAGTACACAGCAAACAAGATTATTATTATCATTATAATTATAATTATTTATTGTGCTTTTTTGAGCATTCTATTATTATCATTATTATTATTGATTGTATTTTTTCTAGGATTCTATTATTATTATTATTGTGGTTTTTCTAGGATTCTATTATTATTAATACTGATTTTGTTTTTTCTAGGATTCTATTATTATTATTATTATTATTATTGATTTTACTTTTTCAAGGATTCTATTTTTTTCTTGTATTCTATTATTATAATTTCTGATTGTGCTTTTTCTAGGATTCCATTATTATTATTGATTTTGCTTTTTTGAGGATTCTATTATTATTGTTATTATTATTACTGATCGTTTTTTGAGGATTCTATTATTATTATTATTACTGATCGTGCTTTTGCTAGGATTCTATTATTATTATTGACTGTACTTTTTCTAGGATTCTATTATTATTACTGATTGTGTGTTTTCTAGGATTCTATTATTATTATTATTGATTGTACTTTTTCTAGGAATTATTATTATTGATTTTGCTTTTTTGAGGATTCTATTATTATTATTGATAGTGCCTTTTCCAGGATTTTATTATTATTATTACTGACTGTGTTTTTTCTAGGATTCTATTATTATTATTATTATTATTATTATTAATTTTGCTTTTTCGGGGATTCTATTACTTTTATTCTTGATTGTACTTTTCCTAGGGTTCTATTATTATTACTTGCTTTTTCTAGGATTCTATTATTATTATTACTGATTGTGATGTTTCTAGGATTCTATTATTATTATTATTATTATTATTATTGATTGTGCTTTTTCTAAGATTCTATTATTATTATTGATTGTGCTTTTTTGAGTATTCTATTATTATTGTTATTATTGTTATTATTATTATTACTGATTGTACTTTTTCTAGGATTCTATTATTATTATTATTATTATTATTGATGGTGCTTTTCTGCCTGGCAGAAGATGCTTGCCCTGGATGGCCCTTGGGGTCTCTTCCCACTCTATGACTCTATACTACTACTATTACTACTACTACTACTACTACTACTACTAATAATAATAATAATAATAATAGATGGGGATGACGGCATCTCCTTCCCTTCCCTGGAGGTTTCTAAGCCAATGCCAGAGGGCTATCTGGTGGGAGGGGTTCAATGGTGCTTTCCCTGCCGGGCTTCCCCCCCCCCCCCGGTGACCCCCTTGGCCCTGCCCGGAAGGGGGGGGTGTCTGTGTGGTGTTGCGTACACTCTCTTCCGCGGCTGGTGCCCCGGCCCCTCCTGGGCAGCCCTCCTCCCCGTCGCCGGCTGAAGTCTCGCTCGCGCTCCCGGTTCTCCTTGCCCTCTTCGCTGGGCTCCGCCTGGCCGGCCTCCTTCTGCCCCGAGAGGCCCTTCTTCTTCCCCACCATCTCCCAGGAGTGCTGCGGGCAAGAAGGGAAAGGGTCAGCCCCCTCCGGCCCTTCCCAAACCAACGGACACTCTCCCTCCGCCCAGCCAAGGGTTTCCCCGCCTGCCTGCCCGCCCGGGCGCCCTCACCGTGTCCGGGTTCCCTTCCAAGAGCACATTGATGGCTCTGTTGACGTCCCCGTTGCAGTCGTGCAAGGCGATCACACACTCATCCTGGTTCTTGCCTGTGATGTCGATCAGCTGTCGGAATGGGGGAAACTCAATTGTCAGCCAAAGCCAGCCCCACTGCACCAAGGAGCCCCACGGAAAACCCATAACAGAGAAGGAGAGGCCACCTGAACCTTAGGAACCTTCTTTGGAAGCTCCTTCTGTGGGGACGTTTACACAGAAGCTGGGTGGCCATCTGTCGGGAGGGCTTTGATTGTGCTTTCCCCACCTGGCAGAAAAGGGTCGGACTGGATGGCCTTTCACATTCCTTCCAACTCCAGGAGTCTGATTTTATAGCCCTATTTCTCCCCATTAACCTTCAAATGGCTATATAAGGATGGATGGCCATCCATCGGGAGGGATTTTACTGTGCTTTTCCCGCCTGGCAAAAAAGGGTTGGACTGGATGGCCTTTGGGGTCTCTTCCAACTCTTAAGATTTTCTCTCTCTCTCTCTAGAGGTTTTTTGGTAGTGGCTGGAAGGCCATCTGTCAGGTGTGCTCTGATTGTGCTTTTCCAGCCTACTAGAAAGGAAGGGGTTGGACTGGATGGCTTTTGGGATCTCTTCCAACTCTTAAGATTCTATCTATCTATCTATCTATCTATCTATCTATCTCCTTCTCTGGAGGTCTTTCAGCTGAGGCTGGATGGCCCTCTGTCGGGTGTGCTCTGATTGTGCTTTTCCAGCCTAGCAGAAAGAAGGGAGATGGATTTGATGACCTTTGGGGGTCTCTTTCTTTAGATAGATAAATATATATATAGATAGAATATCTCTTTCTCTCCTTCTCTGGAGGTCTTTTGGCAGAAGCTGAATGGCCATCTGTCAGGTGTGCTCTGACTGTGCTTTTCCAGCCTGGGAGAAGGAAAGGGGTTGGGACCGGGTGTATCCCTTGGGGTCTCATCCGACTCTGTGACTCACCTGTTTCACCTTCTCCTCAAAGTCGGCATCGTTGTGGTCCGATATCATCTGTGCAAGCCGGATCTGCTCTGCAGTGGCCTGCCAGGAGAAAGGACGGCGGCGGGTCAAACACCGGGATACAAGCGCATGCCCACCAAGCAACGTTGTATGTCTAATCAGCATTGAATGTTTCCCATGCATATATGTGCATTGTAATCCACCCAGGGTGAGAAGGGCAGAATATACTGCAAATAAATAAATAGATTTTAGGCTTGACGTTGTAACGCAGCGTACGTGCGCTGGCTCACCTGAGGCCGCTGCTTGTGCTGTGCCTGGTTCTGCGCCTGCGCCTGCTCCCAGCTGCCCCGGGCCCGGTTCGTGCCCACCGAGGTCATCATTTACAGTATATACAAATAACAGTATTTACAAGGTCGAACTCTGCAAAGACAAGAAGGGGGGGGGGGGGGGAAGAGATCACACTCAGAAAACGGGGAAAGCCAAGGGTAGCAAATGCAAGGCCCTAGGAAACATGTCCTTGGGGGGGGGGGGGCAGTTTGGGGAGGGTTATATTTATAGGCATATAAATCCATAACTTCTTCCAAAAGATGAATCCACAAACTTGAGCACAAGACTTTCCCAAAGATCTTAGACATAGACTTGAACGTGGAACAAGCCCCAAGGTGTACACTTCAATGCAGTGTTGCCTGTTCTAACCCTTTCAGTAAACAACACTCCTCAGCACTGCGGGTTCAAGCAGTTTGTGGAAGCAAGAGCCCACCTATGGAAATACCCACATACATACATACACAAGTCAACGTTTGCATGTAGAAAAAGCACAATCAATAATTATAGTAAGAGAACCATGGAAAAGGGACAATCAATAATAATAATAGAATCCTAGAAAAAGCACAATAAAAATAATAGAATCCTAGGAAAAGCACAACAACAACAATAATAATAGAATCCTAGGAAAAGCACAACAACAACAATAATAATAGAATCCTAGGAAAAGTATAATCAATAATAATAATGATCATAATAGAATGCTCAAAAAAGCACAATAAATAATAATTATGATGATAATAATTTTGTTTGCTGTGTACTAACTTTGTTATGCATCAAATAATAATAATAATAGAAAGAGACAATAATAATAATAATAATAGAATCCTAGAAAAAGCACAATAACAACAACAATAATAATAGAATCTGGAGTTGAGAGAGGGAGCTCATCCGCGCTCTCCCCGGATTCGAACCTCTGACCTGTCCCGTCTTCAGTCCTGCTGGCACAAGGGTTTAACCCACTGCGCCACAGTAATCACACCTGACAAGGCTAATGTTATTTGTTTATTTAGTATCAAAAGCATTGCACAAATTAGTATAAAACTGATCAAAATAGAAGGAGCGCAAGCGGCTAAATATCTTTTGACCAAAAACGGGCAACAGCAACGGCATTGTCTGTAGCCCCCAACAATTCCTCCTCTGTGCATGAGGCAGGGCACAATGGATGAACATACTGATGCAGAGTTGTGTGTCCTGCTCCACAGTCACACAAGGTCTGGGATTCTTTTAGGTCGTGCCATTTGGCCAGGTTGTCTTTTGATTAGATAGATAAACAAATGCAGATTCCCACTCTAAATATCTCGGCCTCATCTTAGACTTGTTTTTTTCGTATCAAAAGCATTGCATAAATTAGTATAATTAGTATATTAGTATAAATAGAAGGAGCGCAGGCAGCTAAATATCTTTCGACCAAAAACGGGCAATAGCAACGGCATTGTCTGTAGCCCCCAACAATTCCTCCTCTGTGCATGAGGCAGGGCACAATGGACAAGCATACAGATGCAGAGTTGATCAGATAGATAGAGTTGCACTGTTCTGACTTATAAACAAATGCGACTTAAGAACAAACCTACAGAATCGCTACAGAAAGGTCAAGAGCTCGAACAGTGTTCCCACTCTCAATATCTTGGCCTAACCTTAGACTTATTTATTTCGTATCAAAAACATTGGCTAAATTAGTATAAAACTGATAAAAATAGAAGGTGGGCAGGTGGCTAAATATCTTTCGACCAAAAATGGGCAACAGCAACGGCATTGTCTGTAACTCCAACAATTCTTCCTCTGTACATGAGGCAGGGCACAATGGACAAGTATATGGATGCAGATTTGTGTGTCCTGCTCCACAGCCAACCAAGGTATGAGTAGTGCCAATTGGCCAGGTTCCCTTTTGCTCTGCCCACTCCACTTCTGAGTCTATTCAGGGACTTCCAGGTTGCCCATTCTTGGTTTGCCCCTGGAGGAAGACCCTCTTAGGGGGGTGGGTCCAGTTGGGATTCCCTGGTTTAGCTGCCCAGAGGGAGACCCTCGCTGTTGCTGGGGGGACGCCAAGAGGAGTGGTCGTTCTCCTAAAGCTAATGTTCAGGAAGTTATTTGCGTGGCACAAAACGATGATTTGACTAGCAAACAAGAAGCTCCACAGCAGGCACCCACAGACTTACATGAGGCCAAGCCCAACAGCATATTACAATAAAATAAAACCATCACACAATAACAACACAGTAAAATACATACAACATATCGAAATACATCGAATTCTAGGCTTTCTCTGCCATTCAGGACTGGAAATGGAAAGCAATAAATATAGACTGATTCCATGACTAGGTCTAGCTTCAAATTCTGCTAAAGAGGCAGCGAGAACATCAATTCAAAGGCTAGGCTTTCTCTTTGCCATTCAGGACTGGAAATGGAAAGGAATAAATATAATAATAATAATAATAATACTTTCCCAATAGATAGATAGAGCAATAGACCTAAGAGAGGCCTACCTTCAGGTCTTGATAGAAAGTTGATAGTGATAGACCTAAGAGAGGCCTAGCTTCAGGTCCCAATAGATAGATAGATAGATAGATAGGCAGAGCAATAGACCTAAGAGAGGCCTACCTTCAGGTCTTGATAGAAAGTTGATAGTGATAGACCTAAGAGAGGCCTAGCTTCAGGTCCCAATAGATAGATAGATAGATAGATAGATATAGACCTAAGAGAGGCCTACCTTCAGGTCCCAATACATAGATGAGTGATGGACCTAAGAGAGGCCTACCTTCAGGTCTTGATAGATAGAAAGTTGATAGCGATAGACCTAAGAGAGGCCTACCTTCAGGTCTCGATAGATAGATAGATAGATAGATAGGCAGAGTAATAGACCTAAGAGAGGCCTACCTTCAGGTCCCAATAGATAGATAGATAGATAGATAGATAGAAATAGACCTAAGAGAGGCCTACCTTCAGGTCCCAATACATAGATGAGTGATGGACCTAAGAGAGGCCTACCTTCAGGTCTTGATAGATAGAAAGTTGATAGCGATAGACCTAAGAGAGGCCTACCTTCAGGTCTCGATAGATAGATAGATAGATAGATAGATAGGCAGAGTAATAGACCTAAGAGAGGCCTACCTTCAGGTCCCAATAGATAGATAGATAGATAGATAGATATAGACCTAAGAGAGGCCTACCTTCAGGTCCCAATACATAGATGAGTGATGGACCTAAGAGAGGCCTACCTTCAGGTCTTGATAGATAGAAAGTTGATAGCGATAGACCTAAGAGAGGCCTACCTTCAGGTCTCGATAGATAGATAGATAGATAGATAGGCAGAGTAATAGACCTAAGAGAGGCCTACCTTCAGGTCCCAATAGATAGATAGATAGATAGATAGATAGATAGATATAGACCTAAGAGAGGGCTACCTTCAGGTCCCAATACATAGATGAGTGATGGACCTAAGAGAGGCCTACCTTCAGGTCTTGATAGATAGAAAGTTGATAGCGATAGACCTAAGAGAGGCCTACCTTCAGGTCTCGATAGATAGATAGATAGGCAGAGTAATAGACCTAAGAGAGGCCTACCTTCAGGTCCCAATAGATAGATAGATAGATAGATAGATAGAAATAGACCTAAGAGAGACCTACCTCCAGGTCCCAATAGATAGATGAGTGATGGACCTAAGAGAGGCCTACCTTCAGGTCTTGATAGATAGAAAGTTGATCGCGATAGACCTAAGAGAGGCCTATCTTCAGGTCTTGATAAATAATAATAATAATAATAACTTTATTTATACCCCGCTACCATCTCCCCAAGGGACCCGGTGCGGCTTACATGAGGCCGAGCCCACAATACATGAATGATAAAGCAATAACAAGTAATACAAAACAATAAAAATAAAACGCACAACAGAAAATGAGCAATAAACATTAACAGTAACACATAGAATATGTATAGAGAAAGAGTATATAATACAGTAATATAGAGAGTGTGTATATACATATATACACAAAAACAAATGTATATTATGGTGGAGGGAAGGAAGTCAAAAGAAAGAAATACAGAATATATATATATATATATATATAAGTACGATAAAGGGAGGGAGGGAATAAGAGGAAGTCGAAGGGAATAAATATTATATATTATATATAATTACAGTAATAATTAACACATATAATAATAATAATAATTATAATAATAATAAAACGCAGCCAGAAGGAGGAGGCATGACAAGTGGGGAGGATGGGCGGGAATATGCCAATTCACAGGTGACCACTGGAGAAACTACGGTTACACGTAAGCAACCTATATGTGCGATTCACAATTGACCACGATGGGAAAGGTCAGGTTTGAAAGCTCGTTGCCCCCTCACTTCTGGCCGGCCGCGTGCGCTAGACGAGCCCCCGTTTCACCCCAGCCTACTAGGCCGCAGCGGAGCTCCAGACCGGAACTGCCCAACAGACTGATTCCATGACTAGGCCTAGCTTCAAATTCTGCCAAAGAGGCAGCGAGAACAACAATTCGAATTTTAGGCTTTCTCTTTGCCATTCAGGACTGGAAGTGGAAAGGAATAAATATGGAATATGTATAGAGAAAGAGTATATAATATAGTAATATAGAGAGTATGTATGTATGTATGTATGTATGTGTATATATATATACATACATACACACACACACAAATATATATTATGATGGAGGAAAGGAAGGTTGGGAAGTTTAAAGAAATACAGAATATATATAAATTATGATAAAGGGAGGGAGGGAACGACAGGAAGTCGAAGGGAATAAATATTATATATAATTACGGTAATTAATAATACATACATACATACATATATATATATAATTATAATAAAGGGAGGGAGGGAACAACAGGAAGCCAAAGGGAATAAATATTATATATAATTACAGTAATAATACATATAATAATAATAATAATACTTTAATTGTACCCCGCTACCATCTCCCCAAGGGACTCGGTGCGGCTTACATGAGGCCGAGCCCACAATACAACAGTGAAAACAATAACAACAGTAACACAAAACAATAAACTCATAAGCAGAAAATAAGCAGTAAACATTAACAATAACACAACGACGTTCAAAAACTTA